CCATACTGAGGGGTAAAACAAAAAACAAAACAAAAAAACCCAGAACGACCTCCTCTCTTGCCTGAAAGGAATAACTGTAAGCTATGCAACTAGTAAGAGGCTAATATCTAAAATGTACACGTCAACAGCAAAAAAAAAAAAAAACCAAAAAATCAAACAACCCCAATTAAGTAATAGGTAGATCTGAACAGACATTTTTCCAAAGACCTCTACATGGCCATGAAAACATGTTCCACATCGCTCATCATCAGAGAAATGTAAATCAGAACCATAGGACGATGCCACCTCACACCGATCAGAATGGCTGTTATCAACAAGGAAAGCGTAAGCAGTGGTGAGGACATGGAGAAAAGAGAGCCTCTGTGCACTGTCAGTGGGAATACAAGTTGGTTGTACCCAGTATGAAAACAACATGGAGGTTCCTCAAAAATTAAAAACAGAACTACGAACATGATCCAGAGATTCCACTAGTGGGTATATATCTCCCCCCGCAAAAACATTAATTTGAAAAGATATCTGCACGCCCATGTTCCCTGCAGCATAACAGGCCAAGATATGGAAACAACCTAAATGTCCATCAATGGAAAAAGAAAATGTGGTGTGTACACACACGATTACTCAGCAATAAAAAAAATGAAACCTTGCCACTTACACACTTAACAACATGCATGGCCTCAAGAGCATTATGCTAAGTGAAATTTGTCAGAGAAAAACACAATCTATAGGAGATCTCTTATATATGGAATCTAAAAAAAAAAAAAAGCAGGTAACAGGGGCGCCTAGGTAGCTCAATCATTGAGCATCTGACTCTTGACTTTGGCTCATGATCCTAGGATCCTGGGATCAAGCCCCGTGTTGGGCTCCACACTCAGCATGGAGCCTGCTTAAGATATTCTTTCTCTCTCTAACAACAACAAAAAACAAAACAAAAACAAAATAAAACACAAGCTCACAGAGAAAAGAGACTGATGGTTGCAAAGAGGTGGGTGTGGGGAATGGGAGAAATGGATGAATTATTTTGTTTTCTTGTTTTTGGTTTACATACATTTCTTTTTAAGATTTTATTTTTAAGTAATCTCTGCATCCAATATGGGGCTCAAACTCACGATCCAAGATCAAGAGTTGCATGCTCTACCAACCGAGGCAGCCAGGTGTTCCTACATAAATTTTTTAACAAATCACCAGGAGCTTTTTCTTTCTTACTTTTTAAGTTTTTATTTATTCATTTAAGAAGTGTGGGGCTTGAACACATGACTCCGAGATCAAGAGGCATACGCACTTCTGACTGAGCCAGTCAAGCGCCCCAGAGAGGAGATTTTTCAAAATATGCATCCCTTCCCGCTGCCCCCCCAGCCCCCTTAGAAAACACTGTAGGGGCTCTGGGGTGGCTCAGTCAGTTAAGCGTCCAACTCCTGATGTCGGCTCAGGTCAGAAACTCAGAGTCTGAGATCTCTGCACTCTCTCTCAAATAAACAAACAATTTAAAAAGAAAATACTGTAATGATCGCCTTGAGAGAAGCCACACCTTCTATATTGAAATGCACAGGAAAACCCAGCCAACAGGTGACAGGCACAGGAACTCTCCCACTTTCCACACAGTATTGCTCAGCAATCCTAGGACTCAGGCCTCACCTCTGCTTTAGTTACCGTGGAGACTAAGGTGTCCGGAAAGCTGGGTGCTGCGGCCAGGTTCACGGAGATCTTGCCGAGACTACAATCCGGCTGTGTGTGTCTCCACCACTCTCATGTTGCCACCAAGAAATCATTTCCACTTTTTAAATCCTTTGTCAAATACCGTAGACGGGGCCTATATTCACAGACTGCCTGGGTCTGAATCCTGGTTCTGCCACTTCCGAGCTGGAGAGCCGTGGGCAAGGGAGTCCACCCCTTGGTCCCCAGTGTCCTCCCTCATCCGTCAGATGGAGACACTACCGCCCCCACCCGGGGAATTCGTGTGAGCGCTTCCGCAGTGAGCACAGTGCCCAACACACCGAATAGCAGTGCCACGGTCGGCAGGACGTCCCTGGACCCTGCTTTCTCCGCGACGGCTTCCTGCTTCACTCCCAGTAGTGATCACTCCCACCTCCCACGGAAGCCCACCTCCCACGGGAGCCCACCTCCCAGCTCTCTCTCAAACGTGCCAACGCCTCTCTCTGTCCGCCACTGCCACCCAGGTCAGGCCGGCACCATGCCGCCTCTCACTTCTGGATGTGCCCGCGCTGGCCCGTGAGGCCCTGCACCACAGTGCAGCCAGGGGTTTCTCTCCACGGTGCGTCTGATCGCTCCAACCTTCTCTCGGCCCAACACCAAGGCCCCAGGATAAAGCCCAAACAAACACCCTGCCTCGGTTTACAAGGCCACCGGCCTTCCAACTACTTCTCTAGCATCGTGTTTTCGTCTCTCTCCAGGCCCTCCAAGCTACCACGGCACCGAGGGCCTCTGGCCCCTCCCACAGAGGCCTTGCATTTACTCTTCCCCCGACTGGCTAACTACCGACACATCTTACTTGTCTTAGACGAGAGCCCCGTCCTTGTATCATCCCCCGTACCCTACTCCGGACACCACCGTGGATTTTTCCTGACCGGGACTGGCCTCTCTCCACTGCGACTGGCACTGGACTCAGCTGCCTCCTGCTCTTTCTGATCTCATCCTAAATCCCTGCTGTTCCCCAAGTGCCCAGCACAGTGCTGCACACATAACTGCACGAACATGCCCACGGAGTGAGACAGCTCCCAATTTTTTGCTCATTCATCAACAACCAGCTTGGAAAAAAAATGTTTTTAAGCCCTGTCAAAGCAGTGAAACTTTCAGTCTCCGAGCTCCAAAGTCATAGGGGAGCCGACAGATGGAGGTGCACAGCAGCAGACTTACAAGGTCCCCAGATGTGCCAGGTACACCCAGGAGGACAGCCTTTGGCTGGCTCCGGGAAGACAGCCCGCCTCTCGAGCCCATCTCCCTGCCCCGGCCGTCCCCCCGCCCGACACCTCCCCACTCGCCACTGCACATGGTGGGAGTCAGTCTTGTAACCAGCCCATCAACAGCTAAATTCGGGTTTAAAAAGTCAGACGCTCACATACACAAGTTGAGAAATCCTCTTTTCATCCATGTCAGAGATGACTGCTGTAGTTTATAAGTATGTTGGACTGACTTCTGAAATTTTAAATATACCCACTGTTGTGGGTTAAGTCCCCCAGAAAGATACACTCAAGCCCTAACCCCCGGGACCTGTTAACATGACCTTATTTGGATAAGGTCAGGCTGGATTCATGCGGGCCCTAATCCAATGACTGATATTCTTCTAATAAGGGGAATCCAGACACAGACACGCAGGCGGCAAGGCCACATGGGAGAAGATGGAAACAGGGATGCAGCAGTGAGCCAAGGGAGGCCCAGGACCGCGAGTGACCACCCCGGGCTGGAAGAGGCCAGGCAAGATTCTTCTCGAAGGCCGTGGGAGGGAGTATGGCGCTGCTGACATTTGATTTCAGACCTCCAGCCTCCAGAACTATGCGAGAATCAAGAGCTGTTGTCGTAGGCCATCCCGCGTGTGGCACTTCGTTACATAAGCCCTCAGAAGAGTGGGGCTTGTACACTAATATTCTCACTAGAAGTGTTTTTGAAAAAAATGAAGTTGGTGGGCTCCTTTCCTAGCAGAGAGCCTTAGTCATTACACTGAACAAAGGTTATACAGTACATTCTTTAAGAGCTTCAGTCTAGACTCTTCGATTTGGGGATTGTATTTTATAAAGTTTAGTTTAGTTTATTTCACAAAAATAGTAGTTTTCTGTGACTAATGCCCTGGTCACCAAACTTGTTAATAGTTCATGCTCCCATCCTAGCCAGGTGCACGTTAATGGAGAGAAAGACACTTTCCCGAGTCACAGGAAAGGGAAAGCAAAAGGAAACCAAAACATTCTTCCAGGTCGTAGAGCTGACATTTCACATGCTCAGCAGAGTTCAGATGTTCAAGGGCAAAAAGAACAGAGACCAACCAGTTAACAAGCTGCCAGATTAAATCAGGCATGAATGTGCACACCTGTGTGCGTGTAAGCACACGTACCCCTTGGAAACCATGGCTGTGGTGGCCAGGTAACAGCTCCAATTTCCAACTCCATACCTAAGCTGGACTCATGAGCTCCCTGCCCACAACCTTCACCACAGGGTCCAAAGTAGACACTGCCATGGTTCACAAGCCCCCCACAGCAGTAAGCAGCACGCCGTTCAACCCTGGCACGACCCCGGGCCAGCATGAAGAAACATGGACACCCACGGGCCCAGAGAGGCCAACTTCCAGTTCCACTGTTTGCTTTACCTTTTAAAAGCATCACTTTTGGGGTGCCTGGGTGGCTCAGTCCATTAAATGTCCAACTTCAGCTCATGATCTCATGGTTCATGAGTTCGAGCCCCACATCGGGCTCTGTGCTTACTGCTCAGAGTCTGGAGCCTGCTTCAGATTCTGGGTCTCCCTCTCTCTCTCTGCCCCTCCCCCACTCACACTATCTCTCTCTCTATAAAATTATAGACACTAAAAATTTTTAACAATAAAATAAAAGCATTGCTTCCAAATCTCATCCTTTGACACCAAAAGCTAAAGAGGCAGACGATATCATTTAGCCTCAAGCTGGCTCTGGGACAATCAGGACTGAAGCTCTTTCTGGGTACAAATGGCACTAGTCGCTGCCAACCATGAAAATAACTGAGGAGACGTGATAAAAGATTGAAGGCACGTCTCTATAAATAAATCAATGCCATTATTCCTCCCACTTACCAGCATGATACTACTATCCCGTTAGCATCAGGAACGAAAAATATTTGAAAAAGGAAAAATCGTTTCTAGACACAAAGCTTTTCTGAGGTATTCAATCATGAACTCAACTGTAAGGATGCACAAAATTAGCTCAACTACGATAGAAAGACCCCAGCTTCAGAGTCCTACACCCACCACTTGCCAGCCAGGTGACCGGCACTTAAACAGAGCTGCCAACGCGCAGGTGACCCACCTCCGCACAGACGGGGTGGATCCCGATGGTACTGTCCAGCTGCTGCTTGGTCAGTCCACACTTGAGCGCGGCAGCAAAGCCTTGCGTAACCTCTCCGGCATTTGGACCCAGAACGTGGAAGCCGACCACACGTTCCTAAAATAAAAAAATAAAGGAACACAGTTAACACTGATTCTTTCCCCCTTATCAAACTAGAATATTAACCCAGTCTATTCTAAAACCTTGTTCAGAAACGATCAAAGATTTATATTTACAGTTGCTGAAAGTGATTTAGGCTGAAGATACTGCAACATGGGCCAACAGAGTGTGGTGGTTACATCAAGCAAGAAGGAAGAGACAAGAGCTGGCCTCATGCGATGAAGGGGAAAGTCATGAGAAGCCAACATGTATGCAATTTTATAAGCACCAAAATGTTCTGGAAAATGTTTTCAAAGGGGCAGATGTGTCCTCATCCTCTATTTGGTTGTCTCAAAGCAACCAAAAGCAACCAAAAAGCTCCAGATAAACTATCTCTGAGAGCTGGAACATTTAAAAGCAGTCATTTAGGGGCACCTGGCTGGCTCAGTCAGCAGAGCATACGACTCTTGATCTTGGGGTTTTGAGTTCAAGCTCCAAGATGGGTATAGAGATTACTTTAAAAAAATTATTTTTAAATAAAATCTAACAAAATCTAAAGAAAAGCAGTCATTTAAATTTAAAAATCATCTTAACTAAGGCTTTGGGGGTAGACAGCTCAGTTAGACTTAAGACCCTTCCAATCTGAGAACATTTCTGAAACCAAGAGAAAAATCTTTGGCAACTCTGAAATACCTGTGTGAGAATTACTTTAATTAAACTCTGTATCCCACACTCTGGCTACCTCTGCCAAGGGCAGAGAAATCTGATGCATTCTAATGTTCAGATTTTCATGACTGAGCTATATTATATAGTCCTATCTCCCCATCACAGATGAGGCAACTCAGGCTACGGGGTACAGAGCCTTATCTCAGCTTCAATCGCTGCCTGGAAAACAATCAGAAAAGTTGTTTGGTTGCCAAAGTATGGTAATTTATTCCACGATGGACTCTCATTATTCATCCTGCCAATCAGGGGCTTAGTGTATGGATATAGCACAAAGCACTGCACCGAAACTAGATTTACATTTAATAATATGGACAGATCTCAAAAAAAGAGATAAATACAAGTTGCAGGCTTGTCTTCTTAGCTGAGGACACCATTCTTAATTAAACCACAATGCATACTATTTAGCAGGGAACAAACAGTCTCCCAGGGGAGACTGGGGCAAGGAGTGAGGCATACAGGATTGAGAAGGAATATAAAAGACTACGCGAGCATAGGATAACGCTGACTAGGTGGTATCAACACGGCCTTGGACGGAGTTCCAACCCTGACATTAACTGGGTGAAGTGGCCTGAGCACAATTACTTAACTTCCATGGGCGTCAGTTTCTTCATCAATAAAATAGGAATAACAGTAATAACACATACTTCACAGGATTATACGTGTAAGAATTAACTAAGTGAAACCATGTAGATTTCTAAGTAATACATAATACGTAGTAAGTGCTCAATAAACATAGGCTATTATAAATTTCCTCTGTGATGGTTTCCCTCTTACAAGAGAAAAGCTCTGAAGCAAATACATCAAAATGTTAACATTACGGAATCTGGGTGGTAAACATTTTCCCTAGCTTTCTGTAAACGTTAAAGATTTCATAAAAAAAAAAAAAAAAAAAGAATAGCATACAAAAAGAATAAAAGCTTAGCAGATACTAAATACTGGAAAAACCAAGCACATGTAGACACTGTGAAATGACCAACCCAAAGTGAATAAAGCATATGTCCCAAGGATGGTCAAGTTCTAGAAGCATGCTTTTGTTTAAGATTGCTCACGACAGGGCGCCTGGACGGCTCAGCTGGTTGAAGGACTCTTGGTGTCAGCTCAGATCATGGAGTCACGGTCTGTGAGTGTGGAGGCTGATTTCGAGCCTCCCCTGTCAGCATGAAGCCTTGCCTGGGGAGCTGTCCCATTCTCACTGCCCTTCCCTGTTCACATGCATGTGCACGTTCTCTCTCTCTCTCTCTCAAAATAAATAAACTTAAAAAAAAAAAAAGACTGTTCATGACAAAAGAACAATGACAAGTATTCATCTCTTCTAATACTATCTTTGCCTATGAAGATAACTGAAAGTAGTATCACCCTACTTACAGCCTCAACTATTTATTTAATTGGGCTCATTAGTAGTGAAAATTGTTCTTCCTATCATATTTTAATAGTGTTATTGGAACAAATGGCACAGCGGTGAAAAAAAGACAAAAGAACTACATACAGTTAAAACAAATTTGTTTGGTCTGAAGGAAAACGTGGAGGTTCAACTGACTGCTACACTCAGCACGCAAGCAACTGAACCAGCTCTCGCAAGAGGCAGGGATCAGGCTGCCAGCGAGAACATCAGTTTCCCATTCTGTCCACGACAGCAATGATAGCTAATGTATACAAACACTTTTAATAAAACTTGTCCACAAAGAAAAAAACTACATAAAATCATTCTTTGTCAACGTGTCTCAGTATATTCATTTATTAAATGCATCTAGGATGACCTTTTTTGTAGAGGATCCAGGCTTTCCTGTTGCATGTAACAGTAGAAACTACTGTCTAATAGTTTCTAAACAGGACACACGGTTTAATTATATTCAAATCCCAAAATAAGAAAAGCATGAGTTTATTGGGCTTTTAACTATGGATTCTTTAGCACCATTTACATTTCTACTCAGGAGTTTTATTTTAAAGGTAAGATCCTAACTAAGTTAGAAATACCACTTCTCAAAAGATGTGTACATACACAAGTTCTGAGTTACAATATAAACTGGGAACAGCAGTCAAAAAAGACTGAAGGGGAGTGTCTGGGGGGCTCCGCCAGTTGAGTGTCTGGCTCTTGGTTTCAGCTCAGGTCATGACCTCGTAGTTTGTGAGTTCAAGTCCTGCATTAGGCCCTGCACTGACACCCCGGGGCCTGCTTGGGTTCTCTCTCTCTTTCTCTCACCCCTGCCCTCATCTTTCTCGAGCTCTTTCTCTCTCTCAAGAAGAACTCAAAAAAAAAAAGGAAAAAAAAGACTGAAAACCAACAATTTATTCAATCAGCTTGTAGGTGTGGAAACGAACCTCACAAAGTCAAGGACTCTGCCCATAGGCCGTCAGCTACCGGTTGTTACATGCAACAGCGGCAATGAAATCTTAAATCAGAACCCAATTAAGAGCTCTTCCTAGCACACTTTTCTCATTAGCGCCAGCTGCTCAGGATACAAACTTGTGTAACTGCTTTTGTATCTTCTCACTTTTAGACAGTCCATGACTTCACTGCTTTCCTTTCACAAACACCAACATCAACAGTTCTCACGTCGTCTCTGTGGTCAGCACTCGGCAAGTTCTCGGCTTGCACTCGGCAGCCTGGCTGCCTGCCAAACGCAGAGCCCCGTGCCAGGGATGCTGAGTCGAGATGGAGCAGCATCACCACGGCCCCTGCCCTCAGCTACTGTCCATGCAGCTGGGGAGACCAAGGAATGCAATGTGTACCATGTGATCAAAATAGACCCACGTATGAAATTACTGGAGAAAGGATTAAATGAGGATTTCACTTACATTGTCTTTGATATTACAGATTATTTTTGCATAACACTTATTGTTATCTCTTGATGGAATCGTCCATTCCAACGGCCAAAAGTAACTATGGTAAACCTATGAAGATATAAACACAATTGAGATCCATTAGCTTAAGAAACACGTTTGTCAAACATTAGGTATGGTTTGAAAACACTGGAGGCTCTTTGGTATTTATCATCAAAAAATAAAATTCAAGGAGTTAACAGGAATTTGGTCAAAAGTAAATGACCTTAAACTTGCTGTTGAGCCTCTATGCTATAAGCTCATCCCTTAATTACATCTCAACCTGAGAAAAATAAACCTTAAGTAATAATAACAACAAAGAACAGGAAAATGAGAGAAAGAAGCCAGGTAATTATTTGCTGTCTTCAATCAAAAAGAAGAGAAGAGAGAAGGGAAAGGAAGAAAGAGAAGAGAAGAAGAGAAGAGAAGAAGAGAAGAGAAAGAAAAGGAAAGGAAAAAAGAAAAAAGAAAAAAAACCTCAACACTATGTTGTATAGAAATGACAGCTTTGGGAAAAAACCAAGTAAGGTGCCAGGAATAATTAGAGCAATTATCTAGCTCCTCGCTTAATGCTTCCAAAAACATTTCCTCCTTTGGCATTATTCATCAAAGCAATGAAGGAGAGAGGGAGGGAAGACGAGAAGGTGGAGGGACGCAGATATTTTTATGTTTCATAACCTTAAGTCTGGGTGACTACAGGGATTTTTTTCCCCTCCAGCTGCTACCCTCAATTCAAAACATATATGGCTGACTACCTTTTAAAAATGTACTGATTATGTAGTCATTATAGTGTCCTTCAAAGTTCCAATACAATGTGAATTTTGTTGTAAGTATGGGTTACAAAACTGAATATACAGTGTCATAGGATCACAACAATTATGCAGGGAAAAAGATAATTAAAGAAATTACCCCAAATTGCTAGCAACTGCTATGTTACAGACACTGGTCTATGGGTAACCATTTCCTATTTCCATTTTCAAAATGTTGACTCAAATGTATTACTTTTATAACGAAAAATGCAAATTCCAATAAAGCCAAAGCCTATCAAGAAATATGAAATATACATTAAGAACCTTCAACTTTAAGTATCTTTCAATAGGAATCTATCCTCAGAAAATAATTAAGAGAAATAGACAATGAATTACGAAGATGTTCATCATTCTACTTATAACAGTGAAAAACTATAAACAATCTAATAAAAGTATAGCTTAAATTATTTTATAGCATCCAAAAATGCAGACGTCATTTCTTAAAATGCTGTTTTCAGAGAGAAATGCTCATGACCTAACATTAAATGCATATAACTTAATCACACTTAAAAAAAAAAAAAAAATCAAGACATATGTACCTACAGTTATACATGCACGTATATATATATATATATATATATATATATATAGCATATATATATACACACACTATATAAACACATAAATACTTTGAGGGACTAGAAAAAAAAATGCCAAAATATTAATAGGAACACTCTTCTTGAATTAAAATTAATTTTTTTATATTTTCCTAATTTTTCAATCTTCCTATAATAATATACTATTTTTACAATCAGATGTTACTAATATGATACTAATTAGGCCAAGATATTACTACTGAAGCATATAATAAGATTTAAGAGATAAACAGACTTTCATATCATAAAATTTACCCTGATTCACAAATCTGGTCTTTTAGAAGGTTTTAACTGGAAATTTTTCTCCTGAATGCTTTAAAGCAGCAATCCCTTTGGGCAGCACTGTGTACATATGGATAGCGCATTTCTTGTGCGTGTTCCTTGACTGTGGCAAAGTTACTAGAGGGTAACGGTACAAAAATATCCAACTATTACTATTAGAGTGGTAAAAATGTAGTTAATTTTTAGTTTTCTTCTTTGTGTTTTCCTGTATTTTTCATTTTTCCAACAATATTGTTTTAATAATAAAAAAAAAAACCTAGTAAAGTGGTTTTAAAAGATAGAAGGAGGGGCACCTCGGTGGCTCAGTTGGTTAAGCGTCCAACTTTTGATCTTGGCTCAGGTCATGATCTCACAGTTCATGGGTTCATGCATCAACCCCTGAACTGACAGTGTGAAGCCTGCTTGGGATTCTTTCTCTCCCTCTCTCTCTATGACCCTTCCTCTACTCTCTCTCAAAAATAAAGTATTACTGGGTCAACTGACAGAATTAAAAAATGAAAGGTGGATCTTCAACTTCCTAAAAACGAGTTAACTATACAGTGGTTACTTAAGAAAATACCCTGTTCACAAGAAACACACACTGAAGAGTTTAGGAGTAAAAAGGCATTCAACTTACTTTCAAAATGTGCAGGAAAAAATAATACACACAGATACACAGATAAAGAAAGAATATAAAAAGTATAAAACACATGGGCAAAATGTTGACAGTACAAGAATCTGGATTATAGGGTCTACAAAAAGTCTTTGTGCTATTTTTCACCCTTTGTGACTGACCTCAGTGTTTTCTTCCCCGAACTTCTCCACAGCTTTCTCCTCAGAAAGGCCACAAGCGCCATACTCCAAAGGAGTAAACACAGTCGTTGGAACATTTTCATAGTCACACTGTTTCAAAATGAAGAAAAGAGTTACAACAGGAGAAATTACAACTCAAAAAAGGGGGTATGGCACAAAGTTCAAAATTAGGAGGGGAAAACAGGCTAATAAATTTCTACCAGAAGTATGGGAAGTCACAAAACCAGACATCAAACCTACTATATGCTGAGAAACACGAACTCATGTGATCATTTCAGGAAAGGAGTGAGGTGTGGCAAGACCAGTCATGAAGAGATTCACGTGCCTTCTCCATCCATCTACCAACTGATGTTAACGGTAAGGACACCCTGCTTCTCCCAGCCAAAAACAATACATGTGTACCCAACGCTAATAGTCTCATATTGGTGACAGGAATTAATAGACTTCTTCTGGAAAGCCAATTAGGTAATGCCTATTAAGAGCTGTAAAAACACTCTCTCTACCTTTGTGCCAAGAACCCCTCTCCTAGCATTCTATAGTAGTAATTTACTGTCCAGAAAAAGCCACATGCATTAACAGAGCACTGCGGCAGCACTGAGTGGCGCAGTCTCCTGGGATGGGCAGGGCCCACATGCACATGGGGAAGTGGTTCTGCGGTGTAGACTCTCAGTGTGCCACCCTGCAGCCATGGAAGCGTAATGAAGACTTTGGAAACAAAAAAAGTTAATGACACTATTTCCAAAGCATATTTTATGATGTTGATCATGCAGACGACTAAAGGGTTCTGAAGTCAAACAAGTCTGTGACACGCTGGATTAAGCAAATAAGCAGGTTTCTCCACTACTGATTTCTCAGAGCCTTTAGTATACAGATGTAAACTGTGGAAAAGGTGTTATGTAAGTGCCAAATATGTTTGTAAATGCTATTGGGTAAAGAGCTACCAGTCACATCTGTACACAGAGGTGAGCCTAATAAGTAACATTCTGCATTTAAAATATCAGGAATTCAATTCTCAAGTCCCATTCTTTAAAACACTAGTGTAAAACCTTTAAAATATGTCTCCTTTGGGGCGCCTGGGTAGCTCAGTCAGTTAAGCGTCCGACTTCAGCTCAGGTCATGATCTCACGGTTCGTGGATTTGGGCTCTGTGCTGACAGCTTGCTCAGAGCCTGGGGCCTGTTTCAGATTCTGTGTCTCCCTCTCTCTCTGACTCTCCCCTGCTCATGCGGTCTCTCTCTCAGAAATAAACTTAAAAAAATTTTTTTTAAATAAATAAATAAAATGTGTCTCCCTGTAGAAATAATAAATATAATCCTTTTTCTCTAAAAAGATCATAAACACTTGGAATTCTGAATCAAAAGTAGAGGCAGGGGCACCTGGGTGGCTCAGTCAGTTGAGCGTCTGATTTCGGCTCAGGTCTAAGTCTCACAGTTCAAGTAGGTGAGTTCGAACCCTGCACTGGGCTCTCTGCCGTCAGCAAGGAGCCTACTTTAGATCTTCTGTACCCTCCCACCCCTGCCGCCTTCTCAAAAAGAAATAAACTTTAAAAAAAAAAAAAAAAAGTAAACGTGGACATCCACATACAGCCATAATGGTGCGCCAGGGACCAATTTTGTTCCTGCTGTCAACAACTAGACAACCAAGCAGCAGGCAACACTTCCAGACACAGGACGACAGGCAGTGCAGGACTGTGATCCGGACAGAAGGGAAACAAAAGAGGCGAGCCCCATGATTTCCTTATTTACTGCCCAGAGCACTTCCTGAGGACTGGGTGCAAGAGGAAGCAGCCCAGAGCAAAGCCGCAGGGCAGAGCCCCCAAGCGCGGCACTGCGCAAAGAGAACTCTTGACACCCACAGAGACTTGGGCAGAGAACGGTTCTGTAAATGTGTCGCAGGAGGGATTCAAGGGTGAGTAAAGAACCGCTGGAAAGTAGAAAGCAGTAGGCGCCCAGAGTCTACGGGACTGGAAATAGCTCCGTTTCCTCAAGCCAGAGTAGAAAGAATTCATAAAGTAAGAGGAATGGGGGAGAGTCCTCCAAAAGGCATCAGTTTAGTGGTAGAAGTAAATCAGCTCTAGATAAAAGGTGGTTATTGGCAGACCCTAAATTTTAAAAGCAAGTTACGAAAGGATGAAACTAATGCCATGTAACTTAACAGGCTGCCAAAGCAAAATCGACCACCATATAAAGGAATCCAATAAAACCTGGCACCCAACAATGTAAAATGTACAACGTACAATGTCCAAATCCTTCCAAGTTAACAAGACGTGCAAAGGAGTAAGAATAAGTGAGCCAATACCAAGAAAAATCAATGAACAGGAAAAGACACTGAAAAAGAGATGATGGAATTAACAGAGGACATTAAATAAGCTATAAATAATCCAGAAAACAGAGAAAACATGAACCTGCTGAGAAAAGGAAAACATTTTAAATACATAAAACTAGCAGAGATGGAAAAATCCAGTTGAAGTGAAAATTACATAATACGGAATTAATAGCTTAAGATGTGGAAAAGATCAGCAAACTTGAACTTGATCAGGCTCTCTAGGAAAATAAAGCACAGAAAGGGGTCGGGGGGAAAGAACATGAAAGGAGCCTCAGAGGCCCATGGGATAATACTGAGTCAACATTCATTAACTGGAGGCTGAGGGGAAATAAAGAAAGGGGGAAGACAGAAAAAATAACTGAATGGCTGGAAATTTCCCAAAGTTGATGACAAGGGTAAAACAGATAAATCCAAGAATCTTGACAGATCATAAGCAGAATAAATATAAGGAAAAGCATACCAAGGAATGCAATAGTTTAGCAGTAATTGCTAATAATCACTAATAAAAAAAATCTTATGAAGAATAAAGATAAAAATGATGGCATACTTCTGTTTAGAATCTATGCAACCAGAGATAGTAGGCAAATTGTTAAGATATTTAAAGAAACACAGTAAGTCAAGAACTCAATATTCAGCAAAAAATATCTTCCCCTCAAATGGAGGTAAAATAAACTTAGGAAAACAAACAACAAAGAGGAGAAAAAGAATTTGCCAGAAGCAGACACACACAGGGTAACTGCACATTCTTCAGGCAGGAAAAGGTGTTTCAGATGGAAATCTGCATCCACATAAAAAGACCAGTTCCTCCCGTGCTCCAAAATGCAGTTTCCAATCCACTTCTACGGACTGTTGTGGCCTAGCCTGGAGAATGTAATCCTCACTTCCAACACTTTTATTTGGAAAGCACACTTGGCAGTTTTCACAACAATCAACTTAATGAACTTTTGAGGTTGAAGATACGTGTATTGTGGCTGCCAGAGTTTTCACAGAAAGTATTTTATATATTTTTTTCTTTTTTAAGTAGGCTCCACACCCAATGCAGGGCTTGAAATCATGACTCTGAGTTCAAGAGTTGCATGCTCCACCAGATGAGCCAGCCAGGTGCCCCTAAAATATTTTATATTTACTATAAAACGGAACTAATAAAGTAACACCTTAACAATAAAGATGCTAATGTTTACTCTTTGTAAATTTCAAGTGTTTGAGAGCAATTCTGAAAAGATCCAAGAAACAGCAACTGTTCACTTTGCTGAAGTGCCCATCACACCGTGCTGAAAGCTTGCATGTGTATCTGATCATCGGGCTTTGTTTGAAAAAAGGGCTTAGTGGAATGTCTCTCATCCACAGGCGGACTCAGCTTTAGCGTCTGTTATCCATCAGCTTTTGAACTGATAAAAACTTTTTTTCATTCCTTCATTTATGTTCCCTAAAAAATGGAATATTTAGTTTGTTTAGTGGCAAATATCTTCAAGTTTTGGAAATGATGTTAATCATTAAGTGTTAAAAAGGTTCATTTAAATTTTCCCAATGTATGTTCCACTTCATTTTATTTAGGAAAATTATACATTACAAAGGTGTTTGCAAATTGCTGGATTCTTTAAAAGTCTGGAGATTGGGGTGTCTGGGTGGCCCAGTCGGTTGAGCATCTGACTCTTGGTTTCGGCTCAGGTCACAGTCTCCTGGCTTCATGGGTTCGTCCCACGTCGGGCTCAGTGCTGGCAGCACAGGGCCTACTTGGGATTCTCCTTTTCTTCTCTCTCTGCCCCTTCCCCACTCATGCTATCTCTCTCTCTCTCAAAATAAATAAATAAACTTTAACAAAGGAGTCTGGAAACATCATTACTATTCCATCCCCTATTCTTCCATAATCTAGACTTCCCAGGTCTTCTTTCTTAGGCAATAAATCATCATGAGTAAGAGACCAGTACTGGAGACTTCATCCACGCCTTGGCTGCCTACCAGCCTTGTGACTTTGCACAGTTACCTAATTTCCCTGGACTGTGTCATCAACCTCCACAGCTGCCCTGAGGCTGAATGAGATAGCACACACAAAGCACTTAGCACAGTACCAGGCATGCCACAAGCACTCAAACGTCACACTCGGTCTCCTTTCCTCTGAACATTCTTGCGAAGCAATGAGGAATAGAGGATAGCAATTTTGGAGGAAGGCATGAACAGCCACAATTCAATCTGGGATCTCAAAATCCCATAATGGATTTAACTCAGCCAGGTGTTTATGTCAAGCTAAACTTTTCAACAGAGAACTGCTCCTTCGGAACGCAGGCAGGCAGGCATGGGTTCCCTCACCTCCGATATATGCTGACGTTTTCACTAACATGCTGGGCAAAATCAAAGGGATTATGCAGTTGCTTAAAAAATAATGTGTGATTTCCCCAAATACATTTAACCTAGAGATCTACTGGCGTTTCGACTTTATTTACTACACTGAAGAACAGACCAGGAAGATTTCAAACTAAGACCTGAGCAGCACCTGCTGATCTTCCTATTCGGTCAAGCATCTGTCTATTAGACTAAAAATAAGAGAAAACAAACAAACAAACAAACAAACAAAAAGAGTCCTTTAATTTCAACTTACATTAAATTCTGATGTTGATAAAATCTTACAGCCCTTTAAGAAAACATCTGCTCTACCTAGCAGAGGACAGAACACAGCACCACGCCCACATATGGAAGGCCAGGTATGTCCAAAGTAGGTGCAATCATTCAGGAAAGGTTTTGAAGAGTTTTGTGCTGATTAACTTCAGATTTATTTAGGAGCAGATTTTTGTTAAGTGCTCCCTTTGGTTACTGTCGGTATATAAAAATATCTCCACTTCAGGGAAACACAAAGACACAAGATCAAGAGCTAATCACAGGCACCTCAAGCTATATTTCTAGATACTAGATATACAGATCTAGAGATAGATCTAGATATTTTCTCGGTATCCTAGCCAATAACTGCAACAATGAACCCAAGAGGACTCACTTGAAACAGTTAAATGTGCCCAAACAGCAATATGAACCAGCTGCTACATGCCCTGGATGATCAGGCAATCTGAGATTCAAAACTCTTTTTAGTCTCAATCCTGTTAATTTCAAAATATAAAGTCTTATTATGCAATTATGCAAACTAACCCAGGTGCATTCAAAATGCCTGTCACAAATTTGACAAGCTGTATTCTCTGAGGTTTCTGTTTCTGGAACCAATGTAAATCAACCCATGATGATAATGTGCAAGGAAAATGGGTAGTGACTAAGCTCTTTACAATCTATGCTCCTGGAATCCTTTCAAAAAATTAATTAGGGAGGGAATGTTGATAAAGCGGAAGGCCACGCACGTATGAAGGCAGGGAATAAATAACATGGGAAATCTTGGATCTCTTCATCTCAATTTTGCTGTGAACCTGTAACTGCTCTAAAAAAATCAGCTTAAAAAATAGAGTATATTTATTCTTTTCTTGACACCTAGTCCCATGAAACATACCTAAGAGTTTCCTACAATGACTACATTTCCTACAATGACTTTTAAAAAATCAGTTTAAAACATTAACACATTAAGCATTCTAAGAGCAGAAGAACAGGGTAATAAAGCCTGAATATTGGTTTAAGCAGCTCTGCACATGATTACCACCTAGATCCCCAAATCCTTATATAGCCTAGGTAGGTCATAAAAAGATTTAAAAAATTATACTTAAATTGGTAATAATGAAGTTAATGTAAACACAGCTATTTACAAGTATATGGAACGTAACAGTGCTGAAGATTAATCAAGCTTATTTTTCCCTAGTGTGATTCCAAGAATGACAATTTTCATAATAAAGTCACAAAGATACAGCAGTGTTACCAATGTCTTGTTTGGAAAACAGTTAATAAAAGCACATGTAGGATGCTATCAGCAAGAGAACTAAATTATTCAAGACCTTCCCCTCAACAGAGAACTGGTATCATTAAAAACAGTATCAACAGGTGTCAGCCACAGACTCACCTTGACATTGGAGCCAGCATAGAGCCTCTGAGCCAGCAGTCTCCCTGCCTGGATTGCTACTGGGGTGAGCTCGAGCTTTCCCTCCAGTATATCGCCGATGGCATAGATATAAGGCACGTTGGTCTGCTCTTCATCTGTGACAGGTATTTTTCCATTCCTGAAAATTCATTCAGTTAAAATCATCAATTACGACTATTAGGTTAAGTAGAACAAAAAAATTCCCCTTTCTCCCAAAGAGCCAAAATTGTGACTCTAGCTAAGGGCAACATTCTAATGTATTACTTAAAAAATACATACGTACATAAACTAAAATAAAAATAAATAAATATTTTAAAAGCTTAGAGACAATTCTGGAATAAGAAAACGGTAAGAAACCCTGGGAGAAAACTAGAACAGAGTGGTTAAGAGTATGTGGATTCTAAACTGTAATGCCAGGTCTGTTAGTTGTCACCTCTGTGATGTTGGGAGGGCTATTTAATATCTCTGAGCTTTACTTTCCCACCTATTAATGGGGTCAATAATAATGAGAATACTGTAAGAAGAAAAGGGATCCCACCATCTACCCTAAGGGGCTGTGAGAATTAAATGAAAACAGGTACGAAATATTTAGCACAACAGGCCATGGCTCACAGTAAGTGCAGAATAAGTGTCAGCTGTTAACATTACACAAAAGCTCAGCTTTGGACCCACTGGAAACCGGCGAGTGAGTTTATTATGCTGGTGGAACACCTGGTCTGCTAAATCTTACTGGTGACCTCCCCAACAACTGTGTCTGTCCACCCTAATAAAAAAATAAATAAGACAAAAATCCTCACACTAAGATTAGGAAGTCTCTGCTCCAGAATATATGTTATTCCTAGAAGAGACAAAAAAACAAAACAAAACAAAAAACTGTGTTTTTAGTTTCCATGGCGGTTCCCAGTCACAGCACTTATTCCTACTGGGCTGTGAGAAAGGTGATGTTGGGAACATCCGGGGCGGCAAATAAGCGGATACCACGGAGTCTCGTTACCCCCTGTACTGCGACAGGCCAAAGGGTTTTAACTTTAACCCTTGAAAACAAGTCCTTCATACTTGTAGCTGTCCCTAGAAATGCAGTGACCACTTATCATCCTAAAACTTGGTAGCTCTAAACATGGCTCCAACCTGCGTATTTAGTAAAGCTCAAAGCACACACCTGCAATTAACTGTGGGGCTAGAATCCTTTGCTATACACTGTACATGAAAGAAACAAGCTGCAAGCTGCTCTATCTTCCATTCAGATTTTGAAAAGGAAAAAACAATATAAAACAGAAAATACCACTGAAAGAAGAGATCTGTAGTCTTAAAAAGGGAGATCTCCAACTATGATACAAACTAACTCTAAAAATCTGAAACTCCATTATTACTCAGTATTATTAACAACTGAAATAGTATTCAATAAGACATAATAAAATTTTTTCTTACTTTTCATTTATCGTTACCCCCACAGTTTCTAAGCCAAGTTTTCTTGTGCAAGCATCTCTTCCTATTGCCAGCAATACCTGAAAAATTAATAGATCAGTGAGTATGATATAAAAGACTTCACATAAGTTACTTAATCATTAAGCCAATCTGATTTCATTTTCCAGACCTCTAAAGAAGGTCTTCATTAAGAAAATAATGTAAGAGTTTATGTGGCACCTGGGTGGCTCAGTCAGTTAAATGTCTGACTCTTGGTTTCAGCTCAGGTCATGATCTCACAGTTTGTGGATGTGAGCCCTGAAGTGGGCTCTGCACTTTCAGGGGACAGTGCGGAGCCTGCTTGGGATTCTCTCTCTCTCTCTCTCTCTCTCTGCCCCCCCACAAACTCTCTCTCTCAAAATAAAAAGTTTAAAAAAAATAATACAAGAGTTTAAACAAATTAGAAAAAACAAAACAAAACAAAAAAAACCTCTTGAACAGAATATAGCATAAGTCCTCAACCACTGATTAAGAAAAAGAGAGTTAGCAATTCCTTCATAAATCTAGCCAAGTTTATAGGGTGCCTGGGTGGCTTAGTTGGTTGGGCATCTGACTTCACCTCAGGTCATGATCTCATGTTTTGTGAGTTTGAGCCCTGCGTCTGGGTCTGTGTTGACAGCTCGGAGCCTGGAGCCTGCTTCGGATTCTGTGTCTCCCTTTCTCTCTGCCCGCCCCTCTCCCCCACCCATGCTCTGTCTCTCTCAAAAATAAACATAAAAATAAATTTTTTTTTTAAATCTAACCAAGTTTAGAGACAAAGACAACATAGCCTATGACTGAATTAAGGTTTTTTAAAATTTAAAAAAAAATATTGCTTTTTGACAGAGAGAGAGTATTAGCAGGGGAGGGGCAGAGAGAGGAGGAAACACAGAATCCGAAGCAGGCTCCAGGCTCTGAGCTGTCAGCACAGAGCCTGACACGGGGCTCAGACCCACAGACCATGAGATCATGACCTGAGCCAAAGTCGGAAGTTCAACCAACTGAGTCACCCAGGCACTCCTTAAGTTGTTTTAAGTAGTGAGCTATGAAGACAAAATTTTGAAGGTCAGAGAAGTTCTACTTCATTTTAAAAAGGATGTCTTTTTATACCTATTTGACAAATGACATTTTTAAGTTACACTGAAGAAAATTTGAAGCCATCCTTATACCAAAACAAATTATAATATCACAAGCAATACAGATGTCCTAGAACGGAAATATAATCAGGTTTTGAAAATAGCAAATAGCCATTGCACGTACCCCGCAAATATCCAAATATCCATAGGCACATTATTTGCTTTCTAATAACGGGCTAACCTGGGTCCATGCCTTACCGTATTATACTCTCCTTCGATGGTTTCACCACTACTGGTGGACTGAGCTACCACCCTGAGTCGGCCTGGTGTCCCTGCTTCAATTTGTTCAACCTATAAAAGTAATAAAGTTTTACTCCACAATAGAGACATGTATCAACTCCCTTCTATCAGGTTAACCCAAAGTTAAAATACAAAATCTGGCATGAGAGGTCCTTTATGTCCCACCCCCTCACCTTAACATCATTAGGACAGTAAGAGAGTTTTCTATTTTATCCTCCTTTTTCTTGCTACTTAATGTTTGCTAGAGGGGCTTTCTTTCCAATAGTTCCCAAAGAGAATAAAATTCAAAGAGAAAAAATAAAGTAGGAGAGAAAAAGCCAGAGAAAGCACACTACAATCCCTAAAATCCAACTAATGACTTGCTGCTCTTCCCAGGCTCCTATCTTGTAACTCACCCGGAGCCCTTAATCCCCTGGAGAGCCCCTACTGCTCAAGTTCAGAGATTCTCTTCTGGCTACAGATGTTTAGCTTTGTCAACCAAGAACAGACACTGGAGTAGATCAAACATGATACCAGTAAACAGCTGGAAAGCCCTAAAAAGCACAGTGAGCACGGAGGTACGTTTCTAGGGACGAGGGGTGGTTGTTAAGGGCTGTAGGGAGGAACGAGCAAGACCTGGAACACGCACTTTGCCAGGTGAGACCAAGCATACTAGCCTACTCCTTGTGGATATCAACCATAACCTTCAGACTATACTACAACAAGTGAAAACCCTCATCACCTGGAGGCTTCTGCAAGTCTGTAGTTAACCTTGGTCTCTCCACGACAGCAAATCATGGGTTTCTGTAAAATATTTACTGGGAGAAACTCCTAAGGTCACCTGTAATTTCTATTCTACCTTTTAAATGCAACCATTCTGTATGGGAAAACGGTCAAGGGTCATTTTAGTTTCACCATTATTAAGTAGTAAAGAGGGGCACCCAGGTGGCTCAGTCAGTTAGGCGTCCGACTTCGGCTCAGGTCATGATCTCATGGTTTGTGGGTTCAAGCCCGCATTGGGCTCTGTGCTGACAGCTCAGAGTCTGAGGCCTGTTTCAGATTGTGTCTCCTCTCTCTGTCCCTACTCCAACTCACGTTCTGTCTCAAAAATAAACATTAAAAAAAAAAAATAAGTAGTAAAGATTTCCTTCTCAAATTCCTGCCTTCTTACATAGTTAAGCCCATCAGAACATACTGAAAATGTCTTTCCAGTTTAAGCTGTAATCTAATCTTTGGAGAAGAGCTGCATTAGTCAGATTACCTGCATCAGTTCAGATTTACCTAAAAATGACAAGGGCCTCATCTCACCTCTAATTCTTTCCAGCCTCACTCACTTTTGTGTTCCAGTAAGGCTTTTTCTATGTCTAAAACAATTTCTGCATTTACAACAATTTTATTCCCCACAATCTCCGTGCACATCACACAATGCGCTCCGTCCCTCCTCCCTGCAGAAGGGCGCTTCTACCGGGTCACTGTATAACACAGCACGTGTTCACCACGACCCATGGGGATCAGAGACACTCTGGGTACCCAAGTAAAATGTTAATGTGCACAGACACAGGTTTATTTCACTAGGGGATAGTCTACAAGATTCTCAAAAGGGCTCACAACTCTCCAAATGTTAAGACATTATAAAGGAATGGCCAATTAATCTTCAACAAAGGAGGCAAGAATATGTGATGGGAAAAAGTCTCTTCAACAAATGATGCTGGGAAAACTGGACAGCTACGTGCAAAGAAAATGAAACTGAACCACTTTCTTATACCAAACACAAAAATAAACTCAAGATGGAATAAGGATATAAATGTGAGACCTGAAACCATAAAAATCCTAGAAGACAATATAGGCAGTAATTTCTTTGGCACTGGCCATAACAATATTTTTCTAGATATGTCTTGTAAGGCAAGGGAAGCAAAAATAAAAATAAACTATTGAGACTTTATCAAAATAAAAAGGTTTTGCACAGACAGCGAAGAAAACAATCAACAAAACTAAAAGATAACCTACAGATTGGGGGAAGATATTTGCAAATGACCTATCTAATACAAGGTTAGTATCCAAAATATATAATGAATTTATTTGAAGAAAAAAAAAAAGACTGTATACAACTCAATACCAAGAAAAAAAAATCCAATTAAAAAATGGACAGAAGACATGAACAGACATTTCTCCAAAGAAGACATCTAGATGGTCAACAGACACATAGAAAGACACATGGTCAACATTACTCATCATCAGGGAAATGCAAATCAAAACCACAATCAGATAACATCTCACACCTGTCAGAATGGCTAAAATAAAAAAATACAAGAAACACCATGCGTTGGCAAGGACGCAGGGAATCAGGAACCCTCATGCACTGTTGGCAGGAATAGAAACTGGTGCAGCCATTCTGGAAGACAATACGGTGGATCCTTAAAAAATAAAAAATAGAACTACTCAAACGCCTGGGTGGCTCAGTCAGCTAAGCATTCAACTCTTTGATTTCAGCTCAGGTCATGGTCACAGGGTCGTGGGACCAAGCCTCCCCTTGGGCTCTGTGCTGAGCATGGAGCCTGCTTAAGATTCCTCCCTCTCTATGCCCCTCTCCAGTTTGCTCTCTCTCACACTCTCTTAAAAAAAAAAAAAACTAAAGAAAAAAACAGAACTACCATACAATCCGGTAATTGCACTACCAGGCATTTACCTAAAGAATACAAAATCACTAATTCAAAAGGATATATGCACCCCTATGTTTATTGCAGCATTATTTACAATAGCCAAATTATGGAAGCAACCTAAGTGTCTATCGGTAGATGAATTGATAAAGATGTGGTTTATATAAAAAATGGATTATTACTCAGCCATAAAAAAAGAATGAAATCTTGCTATTTGCAACAACAGGGATGCTAAGCGAAATAAGCCAGTCAGAGAAAGACCAATACCATGTGACTTAACTCATATACAGAATTCAAGAAACGAACAAAAGAAAAAAGATGGACGAACCAAGAAACAGACTCTTAACTAGAGAAAACAAACAGATGGAGAGGTGGATGGGGCTGGGGGGGGGGGGGGGGGGGGGGGGGGCGTGGTGAAACAGGTGATAGGGATTAAGATCACACTTCCCAGGGTACCCAAGGGGCTCAGTAGGTTAATAATCCAACTCTTGATTTCAGCTCAGGTCATGATGCCAGGGTCATGGGATCAAGCCCCGAGCTGGGTTCCACACTGAGTGTGGAGCCTGCTTAAGATTCTCTTTCTCTGCCCCTCTCCCCTGCTTGCACACATACTCTCTCTCTCTCAAAAAACAAAACAAAACAAAAACAAAAAGAGAGCACACTTCTCACGATGAGCAGTGAGTAATGCATGGAAGCGTCCACTCCCTGTACTGCTGTACAGGAACTACTCCCAGAACTACTATAACGCTGAAGGCTGCACTGCATGCTGGAATTACAAACAGATGTTAAGAGAAGAAAATGTTACTTTTCCATCAGCACAGCTTGCAGGTACAGTTGTTGTTTTCTAAGCACAGCCCGAGGGCAAATGTACCCCATGTACCTCTACTCCCTAAAAGACAACTCCAGGAGTCAAGTGCTGGTAACTTGCAGGACGTGTGCCACTTCACCCTCACAACAACACTAGACTCACTCTGTGCCAGGTACTGTCCTAATAACTTTCTCCATGTCAGCGACTGCAGTCTTCACGAGAACTCTGAGACAGGCGCTATTACCACCCTAACTTTATGGAAGAAACTGAAGCTCAGAAAGATTAAGTGATTTCCCCAAAGTCATACAGCAAGAAAATGGTATGATAGTATTCAAAGCAGGTCATTCTGGTCCCAATGCTCAAACTCTATCAACATTAAGCAACTCTTAACATGGTCACACAAAAGGCCTAAGTTAACCCACTGAGCAAATGACAGCCAAAATTCCTGAACTTTAAAACAGTCTCACCATTACCTGCACTAAAGGAAACTTATCTATTAGAGATATGAGGAGTGATTTTGTCACTTTTATATCAAAATATTTGTGATGACGTTAACTCCCAGGGTAACTCGGCATATTTTTCAACCTTTTCAAAAGAAGACTGAATAAGCAAAAAAAAAAAAAAAAGGGAGCCCATGTAACAAAATTAGATAATCGTTTTTGGAGAAGACAGAATAATACAGTGTATCTGTTGACTACACAGTACACCAAGGACAAATATCTCATGGAAAAAAAATTTAAAAATGAGCCAAGTCTTGAACTCTTATTTAAATCACTGGTGTGTACGAAGAAACAAAGGTTAACAGACCAAAGATTATAAAGCAAAGGGATGCGTGAAGGGAGACATGAAACAAAAGAGAACCAGAAGTAAGAAAGTTGAGATGATAATGAAGAAATTACTAATGTGCAGATATTTAGGTGGCAGCAGGTACAAGTTCATGTACCAGGATCACTGCTGAGGAAGTGCAGCACTCCTGATGGTTCGTATGGTAGAAGGAATGCTCCCTCCACCCACCCCAACCCCCTCTCTCTCCTGCCTTCTAAACAGGAGTATGAAACCAACAAAACTACCAGCAACTCCACTTACTTTTATTGGTACAAACTGTTTTATAAACTTGACACCATGTTCCTCCATATGTTCACCAATTTTGTTGGCCATATCCTGGTCAAATCCTCTCAGAAGGATGGATCGTACCATAACAGTGACATCTAAACCAATGCCAGCAAGAAAGCCAGCACATTCCAAGGCGACATAGGATGCTCCAACCACCAGGGTCTTACCCGGACAATAAGGTAAGGAGAAAAGATCATCACTGAAAAGAAATTAAAAAAAAAAAAAAAAAAAAAGGTGAGGGCCGGGAAGAAAGAAGTGGAGAATATTCCAATGTGAGTGATGACTGAATCAAAGTAAATATTTTTGCTTTCTCAAGAATACACTTTTAAAATTAAAAACATTCAATTGGCTACATACATAATCTATGAAGAGTGTCTACAAGGGCTTAGACCCCCTCCCTTTCTGGCCACTCAGTTGCTCTGGGAGCAGCTCAAGCTGCCCACAGCCGAACACAGCAAACCTCCTGACTCCTGACTCCTGACATTAATCCCGACTCACGGTCAAATAAAATGATCTTGAACTGTTTGCAATAATGCTCCACTAATGTGTTTAACATCATGTATTCACAAACCCAGCCCCCCACCTGTCATCCTCCCCTCACTCAGCTCTCTCCAAGGTGGAAGATCCATCTAGAACACCAATCAGCAAGAGATAACTGTTCTGTAATATGAAAACCAACTCTAAAGAGTAAAACCTGACCAAATCTTTTAGTCAAGTGAAGAATATACAAGAAGAGAGAGATCACAAAAGCATTTTTAGGAAATGAATTATTTTTTAACTATGAGAAGGGAACCCATTCAAGGCAGTGAACAGTCACCACTGAGCTGCCCCTGTATGAGGCACAAAGGAAAAAAGAATCACATTCCCTCCCCAAAAAAGAGCCCGAGAAGAAACAGTTTATAACATGAGCAGAAACTCCTAGGCAGAAAGCACCCAAGAGGCCATATTTATCAATAACTGGATGTTAACACATTTATAAGACATAATCACACATGTATAAACTTCAAATACAAGTTTCAACATAAGCACATATCTATATGTTAGCAGTAATGTTAAGTGGGGGGTAAGAAAGACCAGTGTTTACAGTTTTGAATTTTCTAAATGTTCTCTTGCATAAAATAATTTTTTCCCTTCTCTTTTTCCCAAGCCTCTGTCCCTTTGGGCAAAAATACGGCCAAAGAAAAAACACAAAAACAAAAAAACTCACAAGTTCTAGGAAATGGCCTACATGGGTTTGAAGAAAAAAAAAAACTGAAAAAGCAGAACTCAACAGGGGGTGGGTGTATCTTTTTCTCCCTCCAGCCTCTGCTCACCTGCTGATGCAGAACTCTTTGTCACCAGGGATGCCCAAATACCGTGGCCTCTCGCCAGTAGCAATGAGAAATTTCTCTGCTGTATAAATTTTTTCTTTGCCTTTGTTATTTGTTGCCTACAAAGAAACCAAGTGTCAACTTTTAATAAGCTATTATTCATTAGAATTGAAGTTATAGTTAACAAAGGCCACCCACCACATTATCCAAATTGATCCTCACAACAATTTGGTAATACATGATGCTAGTAAGCAGCAGAGCCACGACTCAAATCCAGGTGACTGGGCCCCAAATCTGGTGTTATTACACTACCACAACCACATGGAAAACGCCCATAAGAAGATGTGCCTGCAAAATCACCAAACTGGACAGTCTGGGTCACAGTGGCTTTTACTTTTATCAAGACAATCACTTTCTCTATTCCTCCCTCATCCCCCCGAAAAGTTTAAAACACAAACATTAGCTACTCAGCCTATCACACAATTACCTTAATCGTATGAGGACCTACAAACTCTCCATATGCATTCTCATAGGTGACTTTTTTCTCCCGCAGAGCAACCCGGTAGCCCCAGTTCAGGGAGCCGATGTAATTCTGTACGGCTTCCGTCATTTTATCCCAGTCATGTTTAACTGCACAAGAAAATAAGACAAGATGTTTTTAGCTTTTCAGCTGCCTGGCAAAGATCACTTCTCAGCAACTGTTCGCATGGAATACAAAGAGCAGACCTTTTCATCTAAAAAAGCAGGGTCCTTCATTTCCAACACATAAACATTCTTTTTGAGCTCAAATATTTTCTTTTTTAGAAAACTACCATACACTTAGATAATGCCAGGCTTCTTGAAAATTCCTAAAAGAACCATGCATAATAACTAAAATAACCAAAATAACCACACATAATCCTTTTCATTTCTTTAGAAATGAATGGGAATTTTACTTTGTAAATGCTGACTGCTGGGGTAATGAGGTGTGATAAAGCCTGGAGGATTCTATACCTGTAACAATCCCCAAGGGATCCTGATGTAGACCAGTGTCTAGACCAGAGGCTGGTAAACAAAGGCAAATTAAGGCTCCACAGCCAAATGCAGCCCATCACCTTTTTTATAAACCGATTTACTGAAATACACCCATGATCATTTGTTTACATATTGTCTAGGGCTTCTTTCATGCTACAATGGCAGAGCTGAGTAGTCATGACAGATCAACAGAGCCCATGAAACCTAAAATATTATCTGGCCCTTTATAAAATAAGTTTGCTGACCCTTGATATAGACAGAGAATTTTAAGAGTCTGTCTCACTGCCCCCCAAATCCCTACACCTCACCAAAGAATAGGAAGATTTTTAAATTCTTTTATAAAATGAATTGAGTCAGGCACAAAAATATTGAATTTCAATGCATAAAAATCAACCATTCATTCATAAATACCTTATGAATGATGAGGAAAAAAACAGGATGCATATAAAATTTACTCTGGTGGTAAGATGAAGACAGATTCTAGGAAAGCTGTGGTTCAGAAGGAAGGAAAAGAGAACCAACATATACTGAAAGACTGTCATGGAAACGAGGAGTCTGAAGGTTAAAGAGCCCCACCACATAGGAAGTGGTGAACCAAGTCAAGAGACACAATGGCCAGCCTCTGGAGCTGGGAATGATAGCACAAAAACTGGTTTTTTGTGCCAGGAATGGAATAGAATAGTAACTCTGCAATGATCTTGCTTTCTTTGTAATGACAATGCTATCCTAAAACTTCTCAAATACTTAATGTTTTAAAAGCGGATTTCATTCTTGAGCACAGGGAAACTCAAATGGAGAAATCTAAAATACATAAAGCAAACAGTTTACATGACTGAGCTCTAGGTTCTTTTGTTTTTGTTTTAAAGACCTAAGACTTTCTCTGTACGTTCTCAGTTCAGAGCTTCGGAAAAGGGCAGATTGCGCCAAGCCCTGGATGTGTCACTCCCCCGTCACAGGCAGATTCAGCTGCGCTGCCAGGCCCCGTCCCTTCCCTCCTTCGCCATGCCACCGTGCCGGGGGCTATCTGCAGCGTCACACAGCCTTCCCAGACAACCAGGGCACTGTTCTTGGGTCAAGGACATGAGATTAGATAGGTTTCTATTCAAAAATTCTAAAATAAGCCTTCACATTTCATCTGTGGCAACAGGGATCAGCAGCCTCTAGGGGTTTCTCATCTGAAAAATACACCTCCAAGTTTCTTTCTTGCTCTAAGATCTAATGACATAAAGTAACGTTGGTTTAAATCCACTGTATTCCTCACCACGACCATTTTCAAAGGAGGGAGGTAACTGCCTGCTGCCCCAGTGGTAGACCGGCAGGCACAGAAGGCCTCTCCCACCAAGCCCAGCTCTGGTGCTTTCTGCTAGGCCACAGCTAGCTTCAGAGGTCCCAAGGCTTCATGAGAAAAACTTAAGATAACAGAATAAACAAACCACTAGGTTTCCGTTTACAAAGAGTAAAGGGAGTTAAATACAGGACATCGTTCATACCGGACACTTCAAGACTGCTGCTAACAAATACAAGAGGAAGAAGGCACTAAAAAGAGAAGAGTATGTATTTCTATTGTTAAAGCCTAGAAAAGGGGGAAGAAATACAAAAGTAAAACTGCTAACATAGTTGAATAAATAATTTCCTTAAAGAGAGACAAAACAAACTTTGATTTGGTCCAAATTTTTTTTTAATTTTTTTTTGGTTTTATTCATTTTTGAGACAGACAGAGATAGAGCAGGAGTGGGGGAGGGGCAGAGAGAGAAAAAGACACAGAATCGGAAACAGGCTCCAGGCTCTGAGCTGTCAGCACAGAACCCAATGCAGGGCTCGAACCCACGAACCGTGAAATCATGACCTGAGTCGAAGCCGGACGCCCAACCAACTGAGCCACACGGCACTCCTGGTCCAAGTTTCAAAACTCCATAAAATTCAGGGAGCATTTACTGGTTTTTGTATAGATCGAGACTATGCTACTAGTGGCTCTTTCTTACCTCAGTGGCTACACATTTATTATGTAACTTAGAGATAAACTCAACATAAATAAGCATAGCCAGTCTTTCTTGTTACATGATAGCTACAGAGATATTCTTTTGCTGGAAACATCTGCCAATTCACCAAGTCCTATTTCACCATTCACCTGGTTACTGAATTTATTAGAATTACACTTGCTTGGTCCTGTTAACAAAAATTCACATTCAGCAGAAGTCTGTACTTAACTCTTACCTTTTTAAGACTCTAAAGACCTACCCACTATATACACTTCCCACATTTTAAAATTAAGAATTCTGTTCCAGTGACTTCACTTTCCTTAAGAGTTGACAGTTTAAAGCTTACATCAATTAGTACAACATACCAATTTGGGTACTAGACCCCTATATGACTGAATAATAATTGTCTGAGTTATACAGCCCCCCGGCGCTGTTTTTACCTAGATTTAAGGGACAGGCTGCATTCACTCTGTAGATGACAGTATATGCAAATTATAAAGCTGCGTAAATCAAAATTTGCTTGGAACGACCTTACTTGTTCCAGCAAATTCTAGACTTTTTCAGATTATAATATTCAGATTAATTTCAGATTAATGTTCTCTTTAAGAGGAAACTAACTTGGTTCAAATATACAACTTCCTTTAGTATCTATAAATATTTTCCCACAAACCATTAACCAAAGAACCAAGCGCTTGCCAGAGTCTACCCTGATTTACTGAAACTCTGAATGGAGGAGTTAAAAGCAGCAAGTCCAGAGGAAAGGACCGAAACTAATGTTTGCTGAGTGACAGTTATTTGGTCACACTACTGTATCTAATCCTCACCACAGGCAGTAGATGGCAAAGTCACAAGTTGTGCCCACATCTACCTATGACAACAACCTATGTTTAATGTGTCAGGAAGGCTAGGGTGAAGGAAAGACTACTTGTCACCACTTCGATCACATTAACCATCCTACCTCTGAGCTCCCAGGGCACTTGGTCTGTAGTATCAGCGCATCAGTGAGGAACAGAATCTGCATGCTTACAGAATCTGTACTATTCATCAGTATTTCCCCAGCACAGACTCACCTCTATTATCAGCAGAATTTCTAAAATGTCTACTAAAAGTCTAATAAATTAACTGAAGGGACATGAAAAGCAGGCTTCCGCCCCCTTGCCTGTCAAGCAACACACGTTTACGGGGAACCTGGTGCTAAACCATTCCTAAACGACCTGTTTCTGGGTCCTGGTTTGATACGCAGCTGGGCAGCTCCCTCACTGCGATCTAGTGAAAGTCAGCGCTCAACACAAGGGTTTGTGGGAAAAAAAAAAAAGTAAAATAAAAATAAATTAAAAAAGAAAAACAGAAGTAGGCTTCGAGGAAGGGAAAAAGTGCATTAATGGCACAGTGTGGAGACATTCAGACATGAGAGTAAATAATAACTTGGGAGAGGGAGTAGAGGTGGGAATAGAGGTGGGCTAGGGCTAGATCATGTTCATATTCCATAGGTCAAGAGTCAGCTCAACTACCCTTTCTGTTGGCAAGAGACAAGAACGTGAGTGATGGCTGCTCTGTACCAGCCTCAGGCCCCAAGGTCATGAACAGAGAATAGCCTCGTAAGGATCTGGGGAAAGAGATATGGCCCCAACATAAGAAAACTTTTAAAGTAACTGATTTTCTAAGATTTTAGACTTGAAAAAGAAGTGCTGTTGATTTTAAACAGGAAGGAAATGCATCAAACAAAGGAAGCGTGATTAATTTGAGTAGGAGCAAAATTATTCAAAGCATGCATTTATGCCTTATTTAAAATATTCAGTGAACTGTTAATTAAAACTCAGAAAAAGCTATAAAATAATTTACCCTAGCAAATGTCCCATACCCTGTAGATCTCAAAACTAGTATCAGACAAGGTTAGAGTTTCCCTCTTCAAGGACATGGTGACCTATGTCATTTAACTATGAAGCTGTGCCAACCTCATTTTATTCTTCTACCAGGCAATACAACTTACTTTCTCAAGGCAACAAATTCCTCAACTTTTTAGGGTTGCCAGTGTACTCTGCATGTTTTATCCAAAGACTAACCCTCCCTTTCTCAACAAATAAAGAGTCTCTTCGCTCCAAAACTATCAGCTCATACACGGATTTCTCTGGAGAGAGAAAAACGAAAAAGATTCAAAGGAAAGCAAATAAATTTGCACTCCCTTATGAAACTCTACATAACTGTAAGAATTTACTTGAGGGGCACCTGGCTGGCTCAGTTGATAGAGCAAACGACTCTTGATCTCAGGGTCATAAGTTCAAGCTCCATGCTGGGCATAGGAGATTACTTTAATATATAGGAAAAATAAAAAATAATTTATCTGAAAAAATTCTGGTTTTTTATTACAGAAAGACACTCCCAGTGCAGTATCCATTTGGTGCAACTATGTGACACAAGGTAATTGCGGTAATTTTATACATAAAAACTGTAAGCAATAAAAACGTCCAGGTTATTCTCTAGCCTTATAAAACTGGATGTTGCATCTAAGACCACAGCTCACACCCCTCAAAACCACGTGCAGCTTCTCCCGCCATACCCGTCTCCTCGATCTTCCAACCATAGTTTCGAGAGTCTTGCACGGCTTGTCCTAACAAAGCTGCCTGGTGCATCAGTTTTTTAGGTATGCAGCCCACGTTCACACATGTTCCTCCGAGACCTGCAACAACAGTGAGAATCAGTTCACACCCTGCTTCACGATTCCTGACAGAAAAAGGTCCAGAATCATCATACCACACTACGAAAGATCATCATTTATTTGCCTAACGTAGCCCAATACTGTTTATGCAAGTTCATTCCTAAGCCTCATGGCATTTCTAAGCTCAGAGAGCCTTATGTGTCAAACACAGTGACATCACCCTGAAACAAAAGGAAAAATGAGATTTCCACAATTTCCAAACACTTCAAAAGTTCAAAATTAACTGACTGCTAATAAAGATGCCAGCAATTGAAATTTTACTTTGCATGCAATCTTATACTTGCCACCAAATCTTTGAACATAACTAAGTGGGAAGGGGACGGTTAAGCTGGCCACAGGTGGACTGCGGTGGGTCTGGAATCACATATGATTCTGGTGTACGTGAGCATTTTTCTTAAGATGGTGGTCTATAGCTTTCATGGAGTCTCACAAAAGGATTCATGACCAAAATAAAACAAAAGGTTTAGCATCTCTAAGATTAAACAGCATGGCGCTAGACTGTCTCCATTAGAACGAAATACAGGCAGGCAGGGAGGCAGACAAAACGGCCAGAGACTGCAAGATGGCAGTAGCCGTCACAGCTCAGGACACAGAAGCCTTCTGAGGAGAATGCCTCCAGACTGCCACTATGGAATGCAACTTCCCCAAGCCAGAGGGGCTATGCCCAGCGTGAGAATAGAGCCTGGGGCACCTGGGTGGCTCAACAAGTTAAGCATCTTACTTCCACTCAGGTCAGGATCTCAAGGTTCAAGGCCTGCATCGGGCTCTGTGCTGACAATGGGAAGCCTGCTTGGGATTGTCTCTTTCTCTGTCTCTATCCCTTCCCCACTTGCTCTCTCTTTTTCTCTGTCTCAAAATAAATGAACTTAAAGAATAAATGGGGCACCTGAGTGGCTCAGTTGGTTAAGAGTCCGACCTCAGCTCAGGTCATGATCTCACAGTTCATGGGTTTGAGCCCTGAGTCAGGCTCTGAGCTGATAGCCTGGAGCCTGCTTCAAATTGTGTCTCCCTCTCTCTCTGCCCCTCCGCAACTTGCACTCTCTTTCTGTCTCTCAAAAATGAATAAACGTTAAAAAACAAAAAAAAAGAAAAAAAGAATAGTGTCTGACACAACACTGACACCTAATAAATATTTGCTGAAGGGATGAATTAGAAACTGAGACACTCTTATCCAAGAGTTTCTGCTTCTTACCTCCTAATTAGAGCAGCTAAGTCATCTTGGTAAGATCTATGTACCCCATCAATCAGCTTCTCAAAGGCTTCCTACTGTGCTTCGATTAGGTCCAATTCCTCATCTTGGCCTATTAGGACCCGTACAGCCTGACCCCTGCCTTTCTCTCCAATCTTACCCCCAGCTCCTATCAGCCATGCTACCATCATGAAGGACTCCTCCCTGCCTCAAGGCCTTTGTATGTTCTATCCTGTGAGAGAAATGTCCCCTGGAAGGTTCTTCCTCAGCTTCTGGCATAACTTGTTCATTCTTATTCTTTCAGCCTTATCTAAAGGCCACCTCTTCAGAGGCCTTCCTTGATAATCTTCTCAAAGTTAAACTCGTTCCTCTACCCAGTTCCTCTCTATCCTACCATACAATTTCTTTAGTACCACTTATGATTTGTAAAGTTCTTGCTTATCTTTTGTCTCCTCACTAGTATATATATTAATATATATTAAGCTCCTAAGTTTACAAAGTTACTCAAATCTTCAGCTTTAAATCCTCGTAACAGCTGTGAATAAGCTTCTGCATTACCTTGACTCTGCCCAAAAACTCTCAATTTTTAACATTTAACTGGCATCCACTTTAACTTAGCACAAGTGAAAGACGTATATGTGTTTTTGTTTTTTAATTTAACTTTTAAATTTTTAATTGTGTTTTAGGAGCCATTTAAACACGTGTCAGGGAGAAACTTTCTCCTACAAATTCACTTCCAAAATACTTTAAAGCTTACCCCATCTAGTTCCATGGGGGGTTGGAGTGACAAAATCCAGGACCAATATCTTCTTGTTGTATTTGGCTGCCTCCTAGAAAATGAAAGTATTAAAATGAACTGGAAACTATTAAAATGAACTGGAAAGACTAGAAATGAGCTGTTATAAATCCAAGCTATTCTTATTAAGCGATAGTGCCCACAACATAACCAGTTATTACTGCCTGGAATTGCACATACTGTACCAAGATGATTAATGAGCCTCCAAGATAAAAATTAAGCACTACTGAGAGAGTCATAAGGGTAGTTTGAGAGAACATACAGAGTACAGCCATAAAATCGTCATCCGGACACACTAGAATCCTTACCTAACTCCACACAAACTGTAGCATATTAAGCAATAATGCGAAGAGTCTGTGGTCTTTTCTAAGCAGGCAGGTGAATAGCCAGTAAAAAAGATTTATGACAGTCTACAACCCTTGATTCCATCTGCATCCTCTAAGCGTTTTTTAAAGTATTTTAAGTTTTATCTAATTCGGTATCTAGGCAGAATATTGGAAAAGTTTTTCTTCTACAATTGTCAGATTTCCTAAAATTTCATGTGAAGAGCCAGTAAGAAAGTTGATGGTATCTAGACGCTTTCCAAGTCGATTTTAGGGAAGTGATGACAACAGTCAGAAATTCATTTTGCAGAGTATCCTTTATCTTTCTCACAGAGTAAGTTTTGTGTACTGCCAACTAGAACCTCCAAAGGTTATCTGAAAGGATCGAGTCCGTGTGTCCTTTAAAACCAAGAGAACTAGGGGTGCCTGGGTGGCTCAGTTTGGTAAGCGTCTAATTGCAGTTCAGGGTTTAAGCCCCATGGTGGGCTCTGTGCTGACAGCTCAGGCTGGGAGCCTGCTTTGGACTCTGCGTGTCCCTCTCTCTCTGCTCCTCTTCCACTCATGCTCTATTGCTCTCTCTCTCTCTCAAAAATGAACATTAAAAAATTTTTTTTAATTAAAAAAAAAATAAAAGCTCCAGAACTAGAGTAAAATACATCCAGTATTATTCCCAAATCATTTACAGCAAAGTATGGCTGGAGGCCAGATACTGGCCTGCTCCTGACCTGGGCAGCTTCATTGAAATCTACCCTTACTGACCCACAGGCTATACCTTGTAAAACCATCTCTCTTTTATTTAAAAAAAAATTTTAATTAAAAAAGATTTTTTTTAATGTTTATTTCTTTTTGAGAGAGCAGAGACAGAGACAGAAACAGAGTCAGAGAGGGAATGGGGGAGGCACAGAGAGAAAGAAAGACACAGAATCCAAAGGAGGCTCTAGGCTCTGAGCTGTCAGCACACAGCCCAATGAGGGACTCGAACTCACAAACTGTGAGGTCATGAGCTGACCTGAAGTCAGACTTTTAACCGGCTGAGCCACCCAGGCGCCCCACCATCTCATCTTTTAAAAAGTACTGGTTGGGGGGCGCCTGAGTGGCTCAGTCAGTTGAGCATCTAACTCTTGATTTCAGCTCAGGTCATGATCTTCTCAGCTTATGGGATGGAGCCCCACATCAGGCTCTGCGCCGACAGTCTAGAACCTGCTTGGGATTCCCTTTCTCTCTCTCTCTCTCTCTCTCTCTCTGCAGCCCCCCACCCACCTACACACATACATGCACACGTTCTCTCTCACTCTCTCTCAAAATGAATAAATTAAAAAAAATAAAAGTACCTTTTGGGGAAGGATGACAGGCCCAAGGGCCCTTGGCCCCTCACACATGGAAAATGTATCTCAATTTAGGGCCAGGAGTCTCATTTCTTAACTGCCCTTATTTATACATCCTCTATCCCATTACCCCCAGACCAGAGTTAGCAGGTATTCTCTTACTTCATTTCTTATATAAAGGAGGCAAACATTTTCAAGTTTTTTAAGTGTATTTATTTTTGTGAGAGAGAGAGAGACAGAGACAGAGTGTGAGTGGGGAAGGAGCAGAGAGAGAGGGAGACAGAATCTGAAGCAGGCTCCAGGCTCTGCTGACAACATAGAGCTTGATGTGGGGCTTGATCTCACAGACCTCAAGATGAGACGCTTAACTGACTGAGCCACCCAGGCACCCCAGGAGGCAAGCATTTTTAATGATTAAGTTTAAGAAATCCAATTGCTCTCCATTTTCCTACTGGGGAGGAAGGCTTGTGAACAGGGAAACTATCGAAGTAAAAAAACCTCATAACATTTATAAAGAATAAGAAATATACTTATTTAATTTCAGGTCATTTCTATACCATACCTTTATTATCTTTGAAAAATCAGCCAAACTCAAAATGAATAGAAAGTGTGTCCCAAAATATTGGGCACAGTACTGTCATGTATAAGTGCTTTCATAAAGAAGATACAGTTCAACCTGGAAAAATGATTTCTAAAACAGTCCCTTTATAAACACCTCCTGCCCGAGTTAACGTGCAGAACATCACAGAAGCAACGTGAGCTTCTGAACATCCAAGCTAATTCCAGTGAGAGTCGCAGAAGTCTACCAGGAATGTGACGTCTACCCACCACCCAGACACCACCCTACGAGCCTTGCCTTAGCTGCTGCCAGTCCCCCGGAGCCGCCTCCGATGATGATGAGGTCATAGTCATAGGACTCAGGAAGATCCTCCGAGCCATTCATTTTTAGTAGCTTTTGAAGTCTGCCCTCCTGATAAGCCTAAAGAAAAGGAAGAGGAAATAATTTAACTTAAAAGCAGCAATGTCCGAAAAGTTTTGTGAGAAAACCTTTCTCTGAAAAAAAGCAAAGGAAAACTTCTGTTTAACTTATGTTACAGCACACAAGAATAAAATGTTTATCCCTCTTTTCAAGTGGTGATCGATGATTTGCGTATCGTTAGAGCTGTCCTAATTCCTTTTCGCATCACAGAGCTAAGCGTGAAGTGCTCATATAGTACATCTACATGTTAGATACTGACATTCCAACAAAATCAACTTAGTCCTAAATTAAGTAGATCATCAGTCCTTTCCTAGAATTATTATACTAGCTTTTAAATTTGGTTTTTAGGGGCACCTGGATGGCTCAGTCAGTTAACCAGTCAACTTCAGCTCGGGTCATGATCTCGCGGTCTATGAGTTCGAGCCCCATGTCAGGCTCTGTGCTGACAGGTGGAGCCTGCTTCAGATTCTGTGTTTCCCTCTCTCTGTGCTGCGCCCCCGCTCAAGCTCTGTCTCTGTCTGAAAAATAAACATTAAGGGGTGCCTGAGTGGCTTAGTCAGTTGAGCGTCTGACTTTCGCTTGGGTCATGATCTCGCGGTTCGTGGGTTCGGGCCCCACGTCGGGCTCTGTGCTGACTGCCAGCTCAGAGCCTGGAGCCTGTTTCGGAGTCTGTATCTCCCTCTCTCTCTGACCCTCCCCTGTTCACGCTGTCTCTCTCTCTCTCTCCTAGAAATAAATAAAAATATTTTAAAAAAAATAAAAATAAACATTAAAAATTTTTTAAAAAATAAATAAATTTGGTTTTTAAAATACTTGTATGTTTTTAATAAAACTATCAATAACCATTTGGCAGTCATCTTTATTTTCTAGTCAAAGGTACAGTAAAAAGAGGGCTAAGTTCTCAGATTACGATAGGGGCCTGGTAGGAGCGCCTGGATGGCTCCGTTGGTTGAGGGTCCGGCTTTGGATCAGGTCGTAATCTCACAGTTCTGGAGTTTGACCCCCACATTGGGCTCACTGCTGTCAGCCTGTCAGCGCAGAGCCTGCTTCAGATGCTCTATTCCCCTCCTCTGCCCCTCCCCAACTTGCGCTCCCCCAAAAAATAAATATTTAAAAAAGTATATATATAGGAGCCTGGTAAATAGCAACTAAAACAGATTAGCCAAGTACTTAAGCCTTTTCTACACTGCTCAGGTAAAAATCAGAACAAAATCATTAACTGACATTTACCTACATGGAAAGTTAAATATAAAAGTCCCTGCTTTTCCAAGGCATTTTTTTTATTTGTTTTATGTTTATTTATTTTTGAGGGAGAGAGCATGTGTGAGGTGGGGGTAGGGGTAGACAGAGAAGGAGACACAGCATCTGAAGCAGGCTCCAAGCTCTGAGCTGTCAGCACAGAGCCTGACACGCGGCGTGAACTCACGAGCCATGAGATCATGACCTGAGTCAGTTGAACGCTTAATTGACTGAACCACCCAGGCGCCCTCCAAGACATTTTATATAAGCAAAGAAATAAAAAGTGGGGGAGGGTGTGGGAGGCTAAATAAATAAGCATGAGTCTGTAAAGCTTACTTCTTTTTTTGCTAAGAACACATTTTTTTAAATGTATTTTTTTAGTTTAAGTAATCTCTCCACCCAACATGGGGCTCTAACTCACAACCCTGAGATCAAGAGCCACATGCTTCACCCACCGAGCCAGCCAGGCACCCCTAAAGCTTACTGCTTTAATCTACCTACAAACGAGGTCTCCTATGTTAGTTTCCATGTACTTGGCACATAACAGGCTTTATAATATAAATATTATAGACTGTTAATTTTAAAAACCATTTCATTCCACTAGGTTTTATACACATTAGTTATGTTTCACATTAGCTTGGAACACTGTTTTGGTGAATTTTTTTTAAGGAGGCGTCACTCCCAGAGCAGGGCTTGAACTCATGACCCTGAGATCCAGTCCTGAGCTAACAACAAGAGTCAGATGCCTAACCGACAGTGCCAACCAGGTACCTCCTGTTTCGGTGGTAGTTTTAGTATCACCTTTTATTAAAACAAAAATGTGTGCTAAATGTTATACCAGCACTGAAAAAGTGTTTTTAAAAGTCAAGTTTTAATCTTAATAACCAATGGAAGTCCCCACACTTACCGGGCCAGATTCCACATTTTTCTCCTGCCTACCAGCAGCTGCGGGGGGCGAAGGATGGAGCTTAGGGTGGGTGCAGCAGGATGCGGGGGACGCGGGAGGGGGCGCAGCAGAGGAAGGGGCAGGAAGGGGCGCGGCACCGTGGCTGCCCCCTGGCAGCGTGGCAGGTAGCCCTGCCGGCTCAGGGACGTAAGGGACTGCACATGGACACCAGCAACCACAGGGGCAAGACGGCATCAACCTGACTGTCTGTACAAAAGGCCTGAGGTGAGAGGCCGGTACACACAGCCAGTATTCACCGACTGGCATGGCGGCAGGGGCTCCTCCTTCAACACAAGGCACTGTGGGGGGAAAAGAAGTTGGTAACGATAGACACTCAGACCACAGGATCAACGCAAGCTTCGGGCAACGAGCATTCCTCTCTAGCTGGTCTCCAGGAGCAAAGGCGGACTCACTGGCTTAAAAGAACTGATGAATAGGGGTGTCTAGGTGGCTCAGTCGGTTGAGCGCCCGACTTTGGCTCAGGTCATGATCTCACGGTTCGTGGGTTCGAGCCCCATGTCGGGCTCTGTGCTGACAGCTTAGAGCCTGGAGCCTGTTTCGGATTCTGTGTCCCTCTCTCGCTCTGCTCCTTCCCTGCTCATTCTCTGTCTCTCTCACTCTCTCAAGGATAAATAAACATTAAAAATTAAAAAAAAAAAAAGAATTAATGAATAAATGCAGCTAGATTTCCTTTTGGAAAAATAACCTATTACCATTTTTCATCTCACCCTCAATTTTATCTGCAAGTACCTGACACAGACAGTGCCAGAAGGCCGGCACTGGCTGTCTAAATGAAAACTATCCATTTCATAACCACCCTCAGCAACATTATCCACCAGAACAAAGGAAAGAAAATGCACTGTCATGCTGAAAAGCCACCAATGTATAATCTGTTCTGTCCTGAAATTCCGGACCATATCTGATTCTTATTCGAGCTTAAAGTCAAACTGTATCAACCAGAGTACAGATTTTACTAAGAAAACTAAGTGAGCCTGAACACTTTTGACTCTAGAAGCACAACAGTAAGACACAGGCAACTAAAGCAGTCCGCCGACCCCAAAACTAAACATGGTGTTTTAAAATTTTAATCCAACTTAAAACTGAAATTGCTCTCCTTAAGGTCCAAGTGGTTTGCCACCTAAAATATAAACAAGATAGACAGCAGAATACAGCTCCCCCAGTGTCAAAGAGGAGCACATAGACAGCTAAGAGAGAAGAGAAAAATGCCCCCCTACATCCTCCTCCAATGATTGTCAGAAATGGTGGCCACGGACTCTAGTGCCTGATAAAGAACAAGAATTCTCAAACTTTTTAGTCTCTAATTTAGTCTCTAAATTTCTAAAATTTACAACTTTTTAGTTGTAAGCCTTCACAACCTTAAATTTTTTAGGACCCCAAAGACCTGTGGTTAATGTGAGGTGTATTTATCAATTTTAGTGTATTAGAAACTAAAACTAAGAAATTTTAATATTAAAATATCTTAATTAAATACGTTAAGCATTACTGTTAAACATACTTGTTAAAAATAATTTTTTTAATTAGTGACAGTACAAGTCTCCTTAATGTCGGTCTTAATAAAAGACAGCTCATATCTTTTTTTTTCCTGCATTCAGTCTGTTACGACATCATCTGTCTGGAAAACTCCAAGGTATACTTGTGAAGGAATTAGAGGAGACTTCATGGCCTTCCTGTTAGGGCTGCGGAAAGTGCCCAGAAGACCTCACTTTGAGAACCACTGCTAGAGGACAAGAGTGTAACTACACAGCACCTCACACCTATCGCCTAGTGGGTGTTTGCCAGACTTACTTGCTGGATGTTCTTCTGCTTCTTGGGAAGAAGGCCTATTCCCACTCCTACCCCTAGTGAAACACTGCTCCAGACTCACCTCTGAAAAGGCACAACATAGTAAACAATTCAAGTGTTCCAGATTTCTTCAGAATTAGAAGAATTTTTATGTTCCTCCCCACCAAACATGATTCATATCCACTGAGCACAGACATGTACTGGTTTTTCTTATTTTACATCAGCTCTGGTGTTGAACTGACTTGGGTTAAAACGCTTGCTCTACCACTCTCTAAGCTAGGTGACTTGGGCTGATCACCTCATCCTCAGGGAGTCTGTTCTTTCATTTTGTAAAATGAAGCTAACATACCCTTGTACTGCACCAAACGGCAGGGCTTAAGTGAAATAATGCATTTTGGCACGGTGGCTGGTAGGAAAAATCTCTTTAGGTTACTAGTGCCCCCCTTCCCAGAGAAGGAAACCTGTGTGGTCAGAAAGCTCCTGGACTGTTTAACAGATGTTCCCTGCGCTTCCCTGTGCCACATCTCACCTGAACTGCCCTCTTCCCATCAAATCCTGACACAGCACATAAGCAGGAAGTAAACACCAATGTTATATTATTTTTATTCAATGCACACAAACACATGACCCGTTAAAGCATTCCTTCAGGGGTCGGGGAGGTGGGTTCTTTTACCAGCATTCTATGACTCCAATATACTATCCATTTCTTCCAGTAAGGTCTTCCTAAAGTTCCCAAACAACATTCTCCTGTTGTTTCTTGTAACTCCATTGAACACACACCGTACCCTAGGGAGGCAGAGGGAGATTTCACTACCGTAGTAAATGTGAAGACAAACTTAAGAAGTTGCACTGGCATCTTTGAAAATGGAGGAAGACACTGTAAATCCAGGAATACAGGTGGCCTCTGAAATGGACAAGAAAACAGATACTCCCCTCGGAGCCTCGGCAGAACCAGCCCTGCTGACACCTTGCTTTTAGCCCAGAGAAACGGATACGAGACTTTCAACCTCTAGAACCGTAAGGTAACAAGTTTTCCGTTGTTTTAAGCCACTAAAAGTTGGGTAATTTGTTACAGCAGCAATTGGACACTAATACACCCACTAAAATATAAATTCCCTAAGAAGATGGTCGATTTCCTGTCTACCACTTTTCCCCCAGTGCCCAGACCAGTCTCTGGTACAGTGAACACTCAAACGATTGCTAAGTAACAAGTACTAATTCCAATCACTTGATAACGGATTCCCCAAGACAAAGGCAGAAGCATGAGGAAGACTTAAAGTGAATGAACCATGACAGAGACGTCACCCCTAAAGGAGGAGACAGCACAGAATTTCTGACCCTGAGAGTGAGGCCCTAATATGAGGGCTCATCCCTGAGCCAGACACTGTGCTAGAAGCTTTGTATATATTATCCCATCTAATCTGCACAATATCCTTCCAATATGCTCATCTCATAAACAACTAGAAGCCCTTAGAGATGAAGAAACTTGCCTGATGAATTAAGAATTGAACCCGGGAGTAACTGGTTACAAACCTCTTGCTTTTCTTACTAACCCATACCCAGGAACTCACATTTCAAAGTACAGCCAACCCTCCAGCAACACGGGTTTGAAATGCAGTCCACTAATACACAGCTTTTTCAAAAACCACAGAATTATAAATGTATTTCTCTTCCTCTCAGTATTATGATCTTCCTATTTTCTCTAGCTTCCTTTATTGTAGACTATACAACACATATACAAAATAGGTTTTAATTGACTGTTTACGTTAACGGTAAGACTTCTGGTCAACAGCAGGCTATTAGTTAAGTTGTGGGGGAGTCAAAAGTTATACTTGAATTTTTGACTGTGCAGGGGGGATGGTGTCACTAACCTCCTCATTGTTTAAGAGTCAACTGTACTTGTCACATACATTTTCTAATTTTATCTTTATTGTAAACTTAAGAGATAGGTGTTATTCCCATTTAGCAAATCAAAAACCTAGTTTACAGGTTCACTAATTTCCCCAAAGTCTCTAACTAGAATGTTAAGTCAGGATTTGATTCCAGGTGCTTTGATCAGAAAGAGATTCTGTTACACAATAAAGTTCTAGTTAAAAATTCTTTCTGTAATATTCTCCTAAATTTCAGTTGATTTTATTGAATCTGTGAAATTTAAGCCCCTGTAATTATATTCCTGGGAAACCAGCAGATCTGCAGTTTGCCTCATACCTAATCTCTGTAATTATCTATTGGTCAATTCTTTTTTCCTTCAAGGTAAGCTGTCACTTTAATTTCAAAGTGATGTAGCAGCTAAGGTGGTCACAGTAAACACAGAAACAAGTGGTCATGATTTAGATTTTAAAAGCTGTTAACTTTAGAGAAGGTCCCAAAAATTACTTTCCCCTCAAATCCATACATTCTCTATTAATGCTTTTAGTCAAGTCCCCAATACTCTGTAAAGACACTGAGCAATTAGCAAAGCAATCGAGTGAGGAGTAAAAAAATGAGGCAGAATTCTCTTGCTACTCAAAAATTCTTTTCCTCTAATGGCAAATCTCTGGAAAACCCAAGGAACTTTGTTGCCACAGACAGGCTAAAATGAGGATCAGTGAAACCAAATGAAACTTCCATGACTTAACAGTCATCAAATCAAAGGGTGGCAGACACCAGGAAGGTTAGCATTTCTTCATGAAAAAGGGGAAAGAGGGGTGCCTGGGAGGCTCAGTCAGTTAAGCATCTGATTTGATTTGGGCTCAGGTCCTTATGTTTGAGCTCTGCATTGGGACTCACAGTGTGGAGCCTGCCTGAGATTCTTGCTCTCTTTCTCTCTCTCTCTCTCTGCCCCTCCCCTGCATCCCCATGCTCCCTCTCTCTCAAAATAAATAAAAGAAGAAAGAAGAAAGAAGAAAGAAGAAAGAAGAAAGAAGAAAGAAGAAGAAGAAAGAAGAAAGAAGAAGAAGAAGAAGAAGAAGAAGAAGAAGAAGAAGAAGACGACGACGACGACGACGACGACGACGAGGAGGAGGAGGAGGAGGAGGAGGAGGAGGAGGAGGAGGAGGAGGAATGGCTACTTTTTTTTTTTAATTTTTTAATGTTTATATGTTTTTAAGAGAGAGAAAAGGAGGGAAGGAGAGAGAGAGGGAGGGAGAGAGCACACAAGTGAGCACACAGCAGAGGAGACACAGAATCCAAAGCAGACTCCAGGCTCTGAACTCTCAGCATAGAGCCCAATGCGGGGCTCAAACTCACAAACTGTGAGATCATGACCTGAGCCGAAGTCGGACTGTTTAACCAACTGAGCCACCCAGGTCCCCCAGGAATGGCTACTTTAGAAAACAGCTGAACGAGCTTCATGAGAATTTTCTATTTTGGCTAAAAACCTCAACTATTACTAAAGAATCTGCCCCCAAAACACATTAGGATCACTCCTGTCCATCTTGATGTCATTTATTCAGTCTTTGGACTTTCTTTCCCTGTACCACACAAGACTTAGTAGGAAAGTTTATGGTTACTTCTGTGCAAGACAGATACTTATCCACTTGCCAAATAATGCCTAATGGCAAAATCCACTACTACCAAGGATTAAGTTCCTATAGGGATGAAAAAAAGCAGCCTGGGGGCTCCTGAGTGGCTCAGTCAGGTAAGCGGCCACTCTCAGTTTCAGCTCAGGTCATGATCTCAGTTCATGAGTTCAAGTCCCACGTGCTCTGCACTGACAGCTTGAGGCCTACTTCCAATTCTGTCTGCCCGAACCCTGCTCACGGTCTCTCTCAAAATAAATAAGTAAACTTCATTTTTAATGTTTACTTATTTTTTTAAGAGAGGAAGTGTGAGTGGGGGAGGGACAAAAAGAGAGGGGGACAAAGGACCTGAAGTAGACCCTGCGCTGACAGCAGCAAGCCAGATGCAGGGCTCCAACTCCCGAAAGCTCATGACCTGAGCTGAAGTCTGGACAAGGACGCTCAACTGACTAAGCCATCCAGGTGCCCCACATAAATAAACTTAAAAACAGAAACAGCCTATGGGCAACTCAGTCCATAGAACAAGTGACTGGATCTCCAGGTCCTGAATTCAAGCCCCACATACAGCATGGGGAGGGAGGGAGGGAGAGATGAAGGGAGGAAGGAAGGGGAGAAAGAGAGACAGAGCAAGCAGCTTACAAATAGACATGCACTGCACCTTCAAAATTGTATTCCTTGGGGCGCCTGGGTGGCTTAGTCGGTTAAGCGTCCGACTTTCGCTTGGGTCATGATCTCGCGGTTCGTGTGTTCGAGCCCCACGTCGGGCTCTGTGCTGACTGCCAGCTCGGAGCCTGGAGCCTGTTTCAGAGTCTGCGTTTCCCTCTCTCTCTCTGACCCTCCCCTGCTCACGCTCGCTCGCTCTCTCTCTCTCTCTCCCTCTCTCCCTCTCTCCTAGAAATAAAAATATTTAAAAAACAAAAACAAAAAACAAAACTGTATTCCTAAAGACCCAAATTTTTGGCATAACTTCTAAGTAAGATTGTAATTCATAACTGAAAGCAACAATAAGAAAAAAGTCTTTATGGTGAACTAAAGAACATATGGGCAAATTATGTATTTCAGCGTAAAGAGAGATAGTTTCCACACATTTAAAGCCCTAATAAGAAACAAAGTTGGGGGCACCTTGGTGGCTCAGTCGGTTAAGCCTCCGACTTCGGCTCAGGTCATGATCTCATGGTTCGTGGGTTCGAGCCCCACGGCAGGCTCTCTGCTGACAGCTAGCTCAGAGCCTGAAGCCTGTTTCAGATTCTGTGTCTCCCTCTCTCTCTGACCCTCCCCTGTTCACACTGTCTCTCTCTCTCTCTCTCAGAAATAATTTAAAAAAAAAAAGAAACACAAAATTGAACTGGGAATATTCAAGGCTGTTACATAATCAAACACCACTGATTCTGAAGGTCAATCTGTGTACCAGCAGCAACCACAAAGGGTCTAGAAACTAGAGGCTACAGAAGAAATTAACCAAGTAGATAAAAACTATAACCGTTGGCCTCTATTTGGCCTCCAGATGGAGAATACCTTTGCTATCTCTGACCAATCCCTACTTACCTTTCAGCACACACTTAATTGATGCCTCAACTATCTACTGTAGGGACTGTTTTGTCTAATCACAGGAGAAATTGCTTAGAATATGTATACCCACACAATCTTATATAGTCCTCTTTGAAATGAAGCGTGGCATCCAGATTTTTTTAAATAGTATTGCTTATTCACTGACCTATGTATAACATCTTTCTCAACCTTTTTTTTTTTTAAACACCCACTCTTTCCCCAACCTTGTCAGAGCCTTATATGGGATTCCTTAGGTTCCCTGTAACAAAGGAAGCAATGCAGTACCACAGAACATCATAACATTGAGTTTTGGTAAATTATCAAATGCCTTTTAACTTACGAAATTCAGAACTTTTATTGATAAAGTCTTAAAGGGCATTCAAAAAAAATTTTTTCCCGTGAGCACGCCAATATTTTTTAGGAACAGAAGATCATGACAACTTCATAAACTACCAAAAAAATACACTGCACAGTAAAACATCTGATGTTTCAAAAATACTTTTTTACTTTACATGAAATACAATATGTGCTTCTTCTTGGATTTTACTCTCCATTTTGAAATACTTTAGAAACGCCACAAAATACAGCCTATACTAAGAACAAAAGCCCCTAGTATGAGTTTGTGATCATAGCCTCTGAAATTTCAAAAGTTGCCACAATATTTTTCCAGTCCTGTAAACTTAAAGATATAACTCCTTGTTTCCTGCCAGGAAAACTGGGATCATTTCCCTCACCCACTTGGTTAATATTAGTCGGCTCTAATATTGGCAGCCTGTCTTGGTCAAGCCTTATTCTCGCAAAACCATCCCTTATAATGAAAGAAACATAAAATATATTCTCCACAGTACGAGAAAAAGAGTTTGGATCAATCACAAACTCAAAGTAGGACACGGGAGTATCAGGATACTTTTGAAAGTAAGTTTGCAACAATCCCAAGATTCTTTCTACTTCTTTTTCTGTTGCCTCTTGATTATTACTCAGGTCCAACTTCCTCAGCTTTTGAGGCATTGCCCCATTTTCTTCCATCTTGTGAGTTTTCTTCTGGTGTTCAAGTCGGGGTTTTGGTGCAGAAGGCTTACACCCGAACGAACCAAAAATAAACTGGAATGTTTCAGCTCGCAATATCCAGGATGTCGCTTCCTTCTGTACCGTCTCCCAGAAGGAGAGAGCTATGTTATCATCACAGGCGCTGAATTCATCGCGTTCATCAACTTCCACCCAGTTCAGGCCCACAAAGATAAACAGAAAGTCACAAAACGCTACTTGATTAAAAAAGCTCATATCACAGTTTAGTTGCTTTGCTTTTTCTTTACCCAAATCAGAAGCCAAAACCAGAAACTGGGCATCGAGCGCGGCCTCTCTGGTTCGGCTCACTCCATCAAACAGCATGTTGGCTTCCTCAAGGGCCTCGGTCAACGAGTCGCTCATGCTCGCCGTGTTCACGAAGTCCTCACGGTTCTGCTGGACGCTGTAGATGAGCTGCCGGTACTGCCTGCGGATCTTCCGGCATTTCTCCTCATCATCCGCAAGCCCCAGGAGGTATGGGTCTATGTTGGCCTCCCAGCAGCTAAGGTCGTCAGAGCAGCCGTTAGCGCCCGCCGCCACTTCCTTCATCGGCTCTTCCTCGTCCACCGGCCGCTTCGCCGAGAACGCCCGACCAGCGACGGTTCCCGCGGGCTCCTCTCCTTCCTCTACGCCTCCCCTCAAGGTGTCTTCTTCCCCAGACATTGCGGAGACCGGAGCGCTCAGCTGACACACAACTAACAGCGTTCGCTACGTTTCCGACCACGGCGGAAATTGAAGGGGGTCCGTGGGAGCAGAGGACAGCGCCCATGCGCATTGGCCGTAGCCCGAGGCCCCGCCCCCAGCTCGCGCCGGCTGCCTGCGGCCGGCCCCGCGGAGCCCAGAACTGCGCGTTCGCTACAGAACGCGGGCAATAATGGGCCCCCGAGACACACTGCAGTAATATCCGCAGCTCGACAGAGAGCGATTCTTTTAGCAATTACTGACCATGCCATCTAGCTTTCAAAGACCTACCTAGACAATCTTATGGCAAAATGGGGGAGGGGAAGGCGAAAGGTCCTGCACTTTAAAACATAAGCGGTCACGTATTGCAGTTAGGTCAGCCTGTATTTCGTTCTTATCTGATTAAAAGGTAGGGTCCTTGGGGTTTGGGTTTCTTGAGCACTAAATCTGGCTGTGTTGCAAACTCCCCATAAAGCCAAGCACTGTGAGTTGCTGAACCTCTGCTACAAATAGGCAGAACTCTCAGAGTTCACTTACAAGGCTGTTTGGAATTCATTCTTCATCATACAAATGTTTATTGGATTAATTACCTTCGTGGGCCCTCAAAACCCAGCCCCTTCCAACCTAGGGCAGATGCAGTCACGAGGCAAGAGAGTGTCCACTAGCACATGAGCGAAGGTGGTGGCTGGTGGGGCATTAGTCAAGTGACCTTTGGTTCTCCACCACCCAAGGGTGGAAGATTAAAATGGTAGTCTCTGCAAAAGAGAGGTTTATTTGGAAGCTTGCCAAAAGCTAAAGACCACAGACTGAATGGAGAGCAAATCTGAACCCTAAAAGGTAAACAAAGCTATATAGACTTTAAACACGATCTGTTGCAAGAACATGGAAGCTAATGGTGGAAATGGAGTGCTGACCTTGGAAAATTCACCTCCTAGTTCACTGGGAATCCCCTCACGGTGGGGAGAAAGGGCTTGGCTCATCAGTCTCATAAGCAGCAAAGCAGATGTAACAATAAGGAATACATTTTGTTTTTAAAGAGAACAAAAAAAAGTACACTCTCAACCTAGAGCAAAACCTTTTCACTTCAAGAGGTGCCCCTTTAATTGGGAGTTGGGGGAGACAAACACCACAGTGTACATTCAAGTTTCAAGGCCCCAGAAGGTAAATCAGCCTTACCTTCCTTCCAGTGCATCTAGACTTGTTCATTTTTCCTTGTCTTTAATAGTAAGTTTCTTCCAAATGTGTGAACAGTAAAACCTACTCTTCACCATTATTTTAAGTATAGTTATAATTCAGGGGGTGAAATGCACATTTTTCAAAAACACCAAGCATTATAGTTACTCATCCACATATATTATCCTGCTCTATTAGACTGAACTTCTCTAAAGCAAGAATCTGGTTTTAAATCTTCCAAGCAAAGCTTCCATGTTCACATGGATGGATACACTGGAGTATGCGTATTTGAATGTATAAATGAATGTAGATGAAAACTTTGTTCCAGCCCCTACTGCAAGTTATTTGGCAGCAAAAGATTAATTTCACAAATTAGTGGGAAAAAATGGATCCAACACACTGAAAAAAGTTGACTGCTTTTCAGAAAGCCAGCTTTAACTCTTCTCCAAAAGTTAAAAGCAAGAGAAAAACAAAGGTGGCCCCCAGTGTCATCAAAGGGCCATATTTTCTTCCTCAAGTCTGGCCAACTACAAACTATTTAAATCTATGTTAAATCTTAGATAAAAACACATAATTAATTCCAAGTTCCAAATCCAAAAATGTTTCCTTTTATAGTTAACCATATTCCTGGGAGCTTCTGATATCCTTTTTAAATCCAGTGAAAGCAATTTATATAGGAACTCCAAAAGATAAGCCAAGCTTCCCACCCCAAGGTGCCTATCTTCTCCTGTCTCAGAGGAAGGAAAACAGGCTGACACCAATTTGCTCCATACAGAGCCTTTCATCTAAGAATTTCAAAATGGTTTAGAAAAATAATTCTCCCAAACTACTTATAAAGTATTACTAATACCATTTACAGGGATTTCTCAGGAGATAATAGCCCACACAACTTGCTCAGAGCAACAGAACACATCAGACAAGCATCATATTATTAAGAAGTGATTTCCAGTGCTGAATTCTATGCTGGATTCCTGTCCTTAAGAACCTTGGTAACATGTAACTTAGATCATCCTCAGAAAGTCAGACTTGTGGGGCGCCTGGCTGGCTCAGTCGGGAAAGCATGTGACTCCTCATCTCGGCGTCATGAGTTCCAGCCCTACACTGGGTGTAGAGATGAATTACATAAATAAATAAACTTTTAAAAAAAGCCATACTTGCATTATATTGTCTTTTTAACTCTGCCTTTAGAGCACAAGTGTTAAATGTTGCTACAAAGCCAAAAATCTCAAGTCTAACAATTTTCTTTAATCTTTTAAAGAATGAGATTTCTACACTTGTGAATCCTGAAATCACTAAATAGCAAGTTTTTACTCTAAGGTCCAATTACTCATAATAAGTATATAAATGCAGCTTAAAAAGAACACCAATACATACGTTCAGTTATACTGGTAAGAGACAGCACAAGTGAGCTAGTGCTTTGAAGAAATCACCGAGGTCTGCCTTCTTCATTCAGTAAGACGAGTTCAGGCAACCACAGCACACAGCCTGGCCTCCAAGAGAATCCAGCTCTTCTCCTCCCTCTTTTTCCCTCGTTCAGGAGTCGCTGCCAACAGCTCAATATGGCCCTATATTTCCTTTCTTCTTTCCTTCAGTGTTTTCCTATCTTCCAGTGCCTCGCTAGGAGTCCGGCCTCCTTCAAGCCCCAGCTCTTCAGCTCTCTCCCACACCCCTGCGTGGCCAGCACAACATGACAGGACAGATGGCACAGGTCACAGGTCTCTCTAGGGCCAAATAAAAAGGAACCCCAGAGGGTCAGTCCCCACTTCTCCTTCTACCGCAGGACTAATCTGGAACACGTGGGCACAGAAGAGACCTCTGAGCCGAAGCCAGGAGCCAATCAGGTCTGGGCCCCCATCCAGCACGTATGCTTACGCTGCTACCAGCCAGCTCCCTGAACTTTTCTGTTCCTTCTTTCCCAGCCCTTTCTCTGCCCTTATCCTGCCAGGGTGTCTATTTGGTACTTGGATGAGAAGAGTCGTTTTTAAAAATTTTTTGTTGCTGTTTTATTTTTGAGAGACAAAACGCAAGCAGGGGAGGGGCAGAGAGAGAGAGAGACACAGAATCTGAAACAGGCTCCAGGCTCCGAGCTGACAGAAGAGAGCCCAACCCAGGGCTTGAACTCACAAGCCGGGAGATCATACCCAAGCCAAAGTCGGACACTTAACCGCCTGAGCCACCCCAGCACCCCTAGATGAGAAAAGCCTTACTGCTCAAAGTGCTGGGTTGATTTGTCAAGAGTAGCAAGACGTTAGGTATGTTTTCTCTTTCATCCTAATTTCCTTTAAGGTTATGTTTGTGTACCTATGCTTTTGCTTTGGTTGGTGTTTTAGTTTTCAGGTAAACTTTGCCATGATCAAGGTAGGTACGTATTTTTTAAATAATCATAGACAGTGGAAAGAGGCAAACCTGGGTTCCAATCTTGACCTAATATTAGTTACTAGCGTTCTCTTAGGTAGGTTGCTTAACTGCTCAGTCTCTGGTTTCCTCATTTGCAAGGTAGGAATAGTACTACTTAAATTCCATAAAGCTACTGTAAGTTTTGAATGAGAATTATGTGACAGATCTGTTAATATTTTCAAATACTGAGTAGGTAGGTACTTACTAAGTCTTCAATCATCCCAACGATAGCAAATGTTTAATAAACATTAGAAATTTGGGGCGTCTGGGTGGCTCAGTTGGTTAAGGGTCTGACTTCAGCTCAGGTCATGATTTCACAGTTCGTGGGTTTGAGGCCTGCGTCGGGCTCTGTGCTGACAGCTAGCTCAGAGCCTGGAGCCTGCTTAGGATTCTATGTTTCCCTCTCTCTCTCTCTGCACCTCCCCCATTCTCACTCTGTCTCTCAATAATAAATAAATGTAAAAAAAAGAAAAAGTAAAAAGTATACAAACCAGTAGCTTCATTCCTGCACGTTGTTTTAGAAAAAGAAAAATATTTTAAAGATTAAATCCATAAGGAGGTATACAAGGTATACAAGAATATATCCCACTGTAACTAACACCAGTGAAAAGGAATTTGCCATATAATACAATTTGAAAACCTAGTAAGGTTTCAACTAATGGAATGTATACAGTACTTTGTAGAGGTAAACCTCTGTACCAAATATTCAGAAACAGGTCTATTAAGAGTCTGAGATTTATATGCAAAACTATTAGGTATATTTTTCTCATGAGTGGTTCCTTGGATTTCAGCAGATTCTTAAAAAAAAAAAAAAAAAAAAGACAATATCCAAAAGAAGCTTTGAATAACTGTTCTATTCAAATAACATGGCTTTATTGTTCGTGAAGTAAGAGTACACAAACCTCCGCCCATGCTCTGTAGTCACAAAGTCACACACTTCACTGACACCAGCAAACCCAGCGCTGGCTCACTTACCAAGCCTCGAGAACTAACATAAACAAGGGTGTGAGTTGAGAACATAGCCTTTCAGGTTATGAGAGCAATTGCCAACCCTCTTGGGACACACCTCAGAAGCCAGCAATGACCGGGAGCATCATTCTGACAGACAACGGGTAGGAAAGCACGGGATATGTGGTTTTTAAGAAGGCAGCCTTGAAGGAACTCACTCTGGAGGCCTGGGCTCCAATCGAAACGAGTGCTTTATTAGTTTCCACTTATTTTCTTCAGAGTCTGAGTGTCCTTGTTTGTAAAGTGAGTCTACTGGATGTCAACCCAGACTGGTTGTCACTCTATAAATAATCATATACAAATATTTGTTGACAAACATATTTTTAAATATATACATTTGCCCCATAGATTTGGGTTACAGATAGCAAAAATAGCGCCTAGCCCAAGGTGGAGAACACAGGTACTCAACAGCACCTGTAGCTAAATAAATGTAATGTGACTTCCTTCTCAACTGACCTTGACACACCTACGTAAGACAATGAAGGTAGACTATGCTGCTGCTATACAGCTCTTTAAGATTCTGAACCGTTT